ATTTCAACTCTTTAAAAAAACGCCCTAGAGCCAGTTTATTCACAGCCCAGCAAAGCTTCTTAAATCCTCTCCCCTGTGCATAGCACCAAATCCTCAAAAGGTTTTTCCCCTTGAGCGGCTCATCTCCCCGCAAGTATCAATTCTTCTTGACCCACCCGTGGCTCTCTGTCCTTTCTGTCACATCAATCAAGATGATGACTGTATCCACCACCCCAAAAGTTTCCTCAGACCCTTTGCAATTCCTACCTCCTGCCTCTCCCCTGCTTTCTCTCACTATAAATTAGTTTGTGTTTTCTAGAGTTTTATCTAAATGAAAGCATACTCTATGTACTCTTCGATAGTCACCCATAAGTTATTTCATGCCTTCGTATTGCTGAGTCGTATTCCATTGTGTGTACACACCACTGGACATTACTTTCAAGAACAGGAACACAGGACCCAGAGAGGGGATGAAATTAAAATCTAACCTGTATGCCTTGCCGGTTTAGTTCAGCGGTTATAGCGTCGGCCTGCAGTCCAGAGAGACCTGGGTTCGGTTTCTGCTAAGGACATATACCTATACCTCGGTTGCAGATTGTCCCCGGCCCTGGTTGGGTCATGTGGGTGGCAACCACTCGATGTGTCCCTTTCACGTCGATGTCTCTGTCTCCCCACCACCACCACCACCACCCTATCTGAACAAAAAATGGAAAAATGTCCTCGGGTGAGGATAAAAAAAATAAATCTAGCCAGTATGAAAAATGCAGAATGGAGAGGGAGAAATGCCATATTTCCCTGAAACACAAATGCAATTTGCACTATGAAAGAATTCTGCTGCCATGACCCCATGACTGACTGAATAAAATGGGGCTTGTTCCAGTCTGTCCCCAGATCTGATCAGGTCCTGGCCACACAGGGAACTGGGGCACATTAGCAGACATTACTTCTGGGGGGACTCAGAGAAATTATTTGACTTTGGACCTTTTCTGCAGTAAACCCTTGAAGAGATTAGGAATTGAGGAAAGAAGTACCCTACAGTATTTATAAGTATAAAATGTCTTTTAGTTTTATCAGGTTGGATCAAATGAGACAAAGGACTTTAAAATGTTTGTAAATGGTAAAGCATAAATCAAAGGCAAGGTTGTCTTTTTCATCAGAAACCACTTCAACATTTATTTTGTGCTTGGGTGAAAATTTAATGTTGAAGATTGCTGATCCAGGAAAAACACAACAAAAAAGGGACTTAGAGAACCATCAGTGAAACCATTCAAAGAAGTTATTATATCATGATCAGCCGCTGTGTGTACCTCTGTAGGAGGAGACTTAATGTTCTTTGGGTCCATGATAAATCCCACAGAACTAGCTCTGAGACTCCAACCCCAACGTCTCGCTCATGCCCAATTGACAGTGGAAGCTATCTTTCCAGCTATAACTACTCAGCTATTTTGTATCAAGCTTCTACCCTGCCCAGAATACTGGGTATCCTCAATTTGGTTGGACCCCAGGGACAACAGTCAAAAGAATTCTGAGACTTCACTAAACTCTTAGTAGTAGCTCTTGCAATACCACCCACCAGTATTACCTTTCGACCCTGCTACCCCGAATGTGGGTTGCAGATCCACAGTACCCCCAGTCACCTGGGAATTTGTTAGAAATGCACATTTTTTACACCCTCCCCCCCATTGGAATTTGTATGTTCACAAGATCCTAGTAATCTGTGTGCACATTAAAGAACGAGAAGCTTGGTCTAGATAGCGGTTCTTCAACTTTGGTGTGCATCAGAGACACTTGGAGGCAGCCGCTGCTGCTGGGCCTGACCTGGGGACCACAGTCTGAGAACCACTGCCCTGGGCTCTACAGCTAGGTGATTAGCAGAGGTTAAGTGGATCCTTTCCAATTTACTGAGTATGATAGAGAATTCTTACACCTTCCAACGCGGCCTGAGGTGAGAATCCAGGAAAGCTAACACTGCTCAGGGACTGAGACCATGGACTCTCCGTTTGGGTTGTTTTAGCACTGCCTCCTGTTTAAACAGAGCTATGGACAAGAGGTTCTAGGGCCTCTGTACCAAAGCCAGAGTAAATGTATGGCAGAGGCTCTATCCGGGAATGTGTTTTGCCCACTTTTAAAACAAACAGAGCCTGAGGGCTGCAGGGGAGAGCTATGGGAATGGGAGGTCCCTATCTGAGAACTGGGCGGGACAGGTTGGTGACCCTGAACCACCCCTTTCGTGGAGTGTTCTTTAGAAAGTCCAGGCTTTTTTGTTCGAGTCCTCCTTGGGAATGCTCAGAGCTCTTAAGGGCACTTGTGCCCTGCACAGCACCGCAACCACATACCCAGTACAGACACACACTGGAACACACCAAGGCCAAGCCTGGCCCCAGGACCGCCCACTCAAAATCCGTCCACTGTTGGATTGTGCTGCCTCTGTGTTATGAAGATTCACCCAAATGCATAGGAAGGAAACCTCAGGCGAGCAAAATTACCTTCAAATAGAAACATTTAACCAGAGGAGGACACAGAAGCCATTCTGAAGAGTAGAGACGAGTACTGACCAGTAAGAGTTTGGTCAGCTCTAACCCCAGTTGCCCATTAGATGGTAGGAGGCAAACTGTTTTCACCGAGATTGCGCCTCACAAATTATACATTTACGTCACAGATAAGCTTCAGTAACTTTCACTGTAGAATGCTTGTTATATGCCAGGGTCTGTGCTAAATGTTTACAGGTATCACTTTAATCTTAGCAATGAGGTTAATCTCAGTCATCCTCATTTTACAGGTGTGGAAACTGAGGAACAGCGTTCTTATATATTTTGTCCAAGGTTACAAAGGCAGTTTGGCGTCCAAACCTGTGCTCTTGGCCGTAGACCACATGTAGCAGGTTCCAGAACCGCAGCTCGGTGGGGCAGGGAAAGAGTCCCCCATTACTGTGCACAACAGGGATTTAAAAAAAAAAAAACACACAAAACTCTTTTTTTTTTTTTTTTTTTATCCTCACCTGAGGATATTTTTTGATATTTTGTTCAGATAGAGTGGGAGGGGGAGAGAGAGAGAGAGAGAGAGAGAGAGAGAAACATCGATGTGAAAGGCACACATCGAGTGGTCGCCACCCACACGACCCAACCAGGGCTGGGGATAAACTGCAACCGAGGCACGTGCCCTTAGCGGGAACCGAACCTGGGTCTCTCCAGACCGCAGGCCAACGCTCTAACCGCTGAGCCAAACGGCCAGGGCCACAAAACTCTTTTAAAGCATTGGAATGTTGTTTGTTTGCTTGCTTATTTATTTATTGGCATGAGGGTAGGATACAAAAATCTAACTAGAAACCTGTTTTATAAAACAGATCAGAGTATAGTTCTTCCAGCCGAAGCCAGGCAGAGCCCCCCCTGTCTGCTCTCCCTGCCCCTCCCGCCACACCACTCCCACCCTGTGTTCACTCCCAGGGAGGGCCTCCACCTCTGGCGTCAATACTTCCAATTCCAAGTTCACTCCCTGCCCACTTCCCACCCGGAGAAACTGAGAAGCTTCTCCCCAGTTCCAGTCCTGAAGGACAGGGGCAAGACTTGCCATGTGTCCTGGAGGGGATGGTTCTGGGAGTGCATGGCCCCTGAGAGATGAGCCAAGTACTTTAAGTATGATGCATTTTACTGAGCACCTGACATTATAGTTAGTAGTTGAAGGAAATGGTGGAGGAGTTGTTTAGGAAGTATCGTGATAGAGAATCCAGGGAGAAGGTTGAGCCTGAATGTCTGATGTTTACCCGTGTACAGGGCCAATCCAGCTTGGAGCTGTGTGCAGGCCTGATCATGTATGTTAAGCACGAATGGTTGGCATTTGTCTAATCTAAGGCATTAATGGATCGGATATGTTTTGGGGGAGTAAGCACAGTGTTATCTCAAACACGGGTTCATGGAGTTCCCACACCACCCCTGTGCCTGAAAGTGTTAGTGCTCAAGGCTTGGGTAGTTCCACACCAAACTCAGGCGACAGCACTCTTAGGGAGGGACCGCAGCTAGCTCTGCCCTAGGACAAAAGTGGCCAGGGACTTGCCATTCTCTCCATGCCATCCAGAAGGTTTATGGCTGCCATTCTGGGTCACTGAGCTAACTGGGCCAATCAGAGTCAGCCCCAAGGAAAGCAAACAGCATAGCCAGACTCTTCTACAGGAGCACTGAACGTCTGGAGTGGCAGGAATTCAAGAGGCCATGTTGCTCCCTTTTATGGGGGGGGGGGTTCTCACCTTAAAAACAAAACAACACACTTTAACCTTAAATCACCTTTAACATTCTGGCAGATATTCTTCCAGTCTTTTTTCCTTTGCAGTTTTTTTTTTTTTTCAACATAGCTGAATTCATAATGTATAATTGATTTTGTGTCTTGTTTTTCTTTTACCTACTTGTATCATAAGTATTTTCTCATGTGTTCATTAGTTTTCATAAGAGCAAGTAATCTGGAGTGAGGTGAGTAAATTTACCTGCACCTTGGTTTCTACGTGTGTAGAATAAGCAATGGTTCTCCAATTTTATCGCACAAGAGTCACCTGAAAAGCTTTTTAAAACACAGATTGCTGGGCCCACCTCCAGAATTTCTAATTCAGTGGGTCTGGAGTGGGGCCTGGGAATTTCAATTCCCAACAAGTTCCCAGGAGATGCTGATGCTGTTCATCAGGAAACCACCTTGGAGGACCAGTGAAATGAGGAGATTGACTTGTGGGATTTCCAAGGTCACTGCTGGTTTCAAAATTGAAATGTTTGCATAGTTTTCAGTTTTGTTTTGTTTTTTGTGTGTTGTTTTTAAAAAACCCATATCTTAACATACATGAGTTATCTGAACTTTAACAAAACCCCATGCCTTTTAAAAATAGAAAAGAACATCATCCACCATTTACAAGTAATTGTTTCCACTTGTAGCGTTTCATACCTATTTCCCTTTGAAGTTACCTGGATTTTTTAAAGAATATCTTTGAAGAACAGTCAGACTTATAGCTAATACTTAATTGTTTTTTCTTTGCCTTTACATAGTTCCATATGTACTGAAGAGCTGTGCAGAATTTATAGAGATTCATGGCATTGTGGATGGGATTTATCGGCTTTCCGGAGTCACCTCAAACATACAACGGCTAAAGTAAGCTAAAAGAATAGCCCCCAACAGAATTCTCTCATAATTCTCTGCTCATATCTCCGTCTGGAGGTGTTGGGAGTATTAAAAACCTGAAGGGAGTGAGCGGAGGGTGAGGGGCAGAAGATCAAGTGCTGATGTTTTCAGATGCCTGTTCTTAATCTAATCAGGAAATTCTCTCGTCTGATGTAATTCTTTCCAACAAAAGCTCCTGAGGGCTTTTAATCTGTTTCTTTGTTTTATACCAGATTTACCCTCCTTAGGTGGAGTTGATTGAATGCCAATGATTTTATTTTATTTTATTTTATTTTTTATTCTCACTCGAGGACATTTTTGGCATTTCTCTTCATATAGAGTGGGAGGGAGAGAAGGGGGAAGAGAGAGAGAAACATCGATGTGAGAGAGACACATCAACTGGTTGCCACCCACACGACCCCAACCCCGGCTGGGGACAAACAGCAACCAAGGTACGTGCCCTTAGCGGGAACCGAACCTGGGTGTCTCTGATCCGCAGGTCGATGCTCTAACCGCTGAGCAAACTGGCCAGGGCGAATGCCAATGATTTTAATTACAAGTTAGGAAAATATGATTTATTATAATTCACTTGCTTACCCAAAGCTCAGTTAGATTCCCTTACATAGTGTTCAGAATTGGAGATGGATGTGAGTTTTTCTGTTGGCACACACTCAACCTTTGATATTTCATCTGCTAAGGACTCAGAAGTCTGTGTGAACGTGCATTTCTCTAATTAATGCCGGTATTAAAAATTACTGATAGATGGATGATTTCCAACTCTACGGATTTATCCTAAGCAATTCTAAAATTTGTCCTTGAATTTTTTGGAAGAAATTTCTATCACATTGAATTCAGAGCACAGTAATGTTCACACTAAACACAGATATCTGTGCATATTACATATAAAATAAAGTAAGTATATGCACACTGTATATAGAGTATACAGGGTGAGGCAAAAGTAGGTTTACGGTTGCTTGTATGGCAAATAATACAATAATGAATAAATAATAATACAAGAATAAATTCTGTTTTGCATGCTCACAACTGGAAACCTACTTTTGCTCCATTCTGTATATATAATGTACAAAGCATATACACTAATACACACACACACACACACACCTGTGACTAAAACAATAAGTTACATACTTGAACATGGAAAAGAACATATATTTATTAGGTGTTATTTTTATATATTTATTATATGTTTTTAGTTATAAATGTAGACTTTTAAAACAATAAAAACATTCTTGTTACAAGACTAGTATGTAAAATTTAATATATTATACAGGTAATTCAATTTTTGTCTTCTTCCTCCTATTTAGTTTTCTGCCCCTCCTTCTCAATCTCAATTAGAATAAAATTATACTAAAGGAATAAAACATCCTTTTTACTCCTGAAGAAGTGATGGCTGTTAAAAAAAAATAGCTGGTTTATTGCATCCATAGATTTTAAGAGATCTATGTGCATACATAATTTCACTAATAAACTAGTGTGACATTTTTTGGAGTTTCAACAGCAATTGCTTTTGAATGGTTTACTCTTAGCTCTAAAATATACTACACAGTAGTTGATATCATGGAAGGACATTTGGGTGATGGCCAGTTCTTTTTCATTTAAGGTCTGACCTCAGCCTCCACAAGGGAAATTTTCGGCTAACTAAATGAATAAGCTTTGGATTGTTCTTGTTCTGCCCTCTTAGGAAAACACATGCCTGTGAATTTATGGGGCCGTTGGTTTTCTTTTTTTTTTTTTTATCCTCACCCGAGGACATTTTTCCATTTTTTGTTCAGGTAGAGTGGGAGGGAGAGAGAGGAAGAGAGAGAGAGAGAAACATCGATGTGAAAGGGACACATCGAGTGGCTGCCACTCATACGACCAACCAGGGCCGGGGACAAACTGCAACCGAGGTACGTGCCCTTAGCGGGAACTGAACCCAGGTCTCTCTGGACCGCAGGCCGACACTCTAACCGCTGAGCCAAACTGGCCAGGGTGCCATTGGTTTTCTTTTCAAGGCCCCACTCAGTTTCTTTTGGCTTCTGACAGCATCAGGGATTTTCCCGCCCTGTTAAAGGGGCAGAAGCAGACTATAGGGGAAAGGGGAAGCTGTTTTGAAATGTTGGCTATGGGAGTCCTGTTGACTTTGCCATTACTTGGTTGACCAAGTGACTACTCAAGAAGCCTAACTTCTTTTCTGTAGTAAAGCTCAAACTTGTCATATATATATATATGTTTTAATCCACATCTGAGGATATGTTTTCATTTACATTTATTTTTAGACAGAGTGGGAGGGAGAGATAGAGAAAGAGAAACATTGATGTGAGAGCGACGCATCGATTGGTTGCCTCCCACACAACCCCAACCAGGGCCGGGGACTGAACTGCAACTGAAGTAAATGCCCTTGACCAGAATCGAACCTGTGACTCTTTGGTCAGCGGGCCTACTCTCTAATCGCTGAGCCAAACCAGCCAGGGCTAAACTTGTCATATTTTTAAACAGGTTTTTAATTGAAAGTACATTAGTCGAGTCAGGATATTCATGTAACCTCATTAGAAAATGTTTTTTAATTAGAAATGAAGCCTGGAATCTGATGATGTTCCTGAACATCACACTATAGATTGTTTGAGAAAACATTTATAAGCTCTTCTATCCTGTGGGAGTCACTATCAGACAGCCTAGAAGGTTCCATCCAGCATCAAAGAGATCATCGATTGAAGTTCTCAAACCTTGGGTTTGAGTCTCCAGATAAAACAAGTTTGTTGACATGAACATATGAATGATAACAATCTGACTCACCCTGGTTTTGGTCTCTCCTCCAAGAAAGAGGATTTCATTTAGAACAACGTTTTAGAAAAACTGAAATCTCAACAGGCTTTTTTTTTGGCAAATTGTTTTCATACTTCCCCACTGTTCACAACTGAGACTGTGAACATAATGCCACGAGAAAGCCATTTGTAAGTGGGCATTATGTCTTTCTCACCACAGCTGTTTGGCAGGGAAGATCCAGGCTTGAAGTGGGATTCTTCCTGGAGCTTCCCTGTGCCTGAAATAGAAGGTCTTTTTGTATCGGGGTCAAAAATATAGTCAGATCAGCAGTTTAGGGTCTCTTTACCCCTAAGCAACCAAACAGCTGCTGACATGGAACACATGTTCCCGGGATTGTTATGTCTCTGTCTGTGTTGTTTCAGGCAAGAGTTTGGCTCAGATCAATGTCCAGATCTGACAAGGGAAGTGTACCTCCAGGACATCCACTGTGTAGGCTCACTCTGCAAGCTCTACTTTAGGGAGCTGCCCAACCCCCTCCTGACTTATGAGCTCTATGAGAAATTCACGGTAAGTGTTTGGATTTTCATTATGGTTCTGGGTCGGGCACATGGACTGGCCAAGAAGAGTTTCAGCACTAAAATAACAATAATAATACTCACCAGATGGATGACATTATCTTAGCATGGTGATGGACAGAGGATGGTATAGTGAAGAAAGGAGGGTAGCGGGACTGCATGCTAAGTTTTTTGTCTTAAAATTTCAGAACCATGTTTGTTTGTTTGAAGAGCTGGGTTAAATTATCTTCGGGTTTATTTAACCAAGTGTATCTCATGCTTAGGGAGGAAACTAGGAACCAGAGAAGTAAAATGACTGACTCAATGTCACACAGCAGGACAGGAACCTAAGACTAGATGCAATACCCGCTGCTAGTTCTTTTTTTTTTTTAATATTTTTAAAATATTTTTTTTTTATTGAGTTTAGAGAGAGAGGAAAGGAGAAGGAGAGAGATAGAAACATTGATGAGAGAGAACATGGATTGGCCGCCTCCTGCATGTCCCCCACCGGGGTCCAGCCCACAACTTGGGCATGTGCCCTGACCGGGAATTGAACTGGCAACCTCTTGGTGCACGGGTTGACGCTCAACCACTGAACCACACCGGCTGGGCTGCTGGTTCATTTTTATCAAGCTGTTTCTTCTCAGTTTCTTTAGGGGTTGTGGAAAGAGGTAGGTGAGTAGAGAAGGGAGAGAGAACAAACAGAAGTCAAGAGAGAGGTCAGAAAGCTGAGAAAAGAGAAGAATCTGGGAAAAGCCGTCAAGAGGGAGCGCTGGATAGACTGGTGGTTGAGTTGGTGGAGGACAGACGGGCAAGAGCAGAGAAGAACACCTAAATAGCAGCTGTATGGTCACCAAAGAGGGCACCCATAGTGAAGCAGAAAGGAGAATAAAGCTTAAAGGACGCCTGTAGGGATAGCATTAAAAATAGGTCTCGAACATTTGCTGCAGGGTTGGAGGTGGGGAGTTGGGGTTAACCAAGGTTGAGGTTCAACCAGCAAAAGAAGGGTGAGCAAGATAAGGGTGTATGCACAGGAGTGGTTGAAATAATTGACCATAAAATGTTGCCTGAATAAGAAAGGAAACGAGGTTATAACGTGGGTGTATAACAGTGAGCAGATCAACAGATTATTCATCCCAGTGAGGTCAATAGACTGTTGGAATTGGGTGGTCAGAGGGGATGTTTGAAACAAGGTTATGAAAGAGTTGCAATTACTGGTAAGAGCCAGATGTAGGCTCTAACTAGAGGAAAGAATCTCTCTCGTGGCTCCTGTAATAAACTTGTTTTGAGCATATAAAAGGTTCTTCAATGAAATGATATAGAATAAGTAAGTGCTTTTTAAAAATTGGGCTTAGGCCATTAAAATATATATGAGTTTTTAATGACAGAGGGAAACACTCATAGTGGTCATTGGAAAAAAATAGATATACAGTTGTATGCTAAGACATGATTAAAAAGAAAGATGTTCAAAAGATTAATAACCATTTATTTCAATGATGAGATTATAGGTAGTTTTCTCTGCTTCTTTCAAAATCATATGCATTATAATGAAAAAAAAATTAGGCCAAAACCCACAAAAAATTGGGGCATAACTGTTGACCACTAGAGATGCCAACCTATACCAGCTGATGTGGAAGTACCAGTGGTTAGGGAACCCTAAGAGATCCAAGGGGACCTTGCAATCTAAGACAGAAGGCAAAAGAGCCTCCAATCTGAGTGGCTAAGTCATAAATAACGGCAGGCTCTGTCCATCAGACTTAGAGGAGTCTTTCCCCGGAACCAGGAGGAAAGGTTGTGGGCTTCATGTGAGTCTGCCAGATTATAATCACCATCACCATATGTGAGTGTTTCCTCATTTTATTTTATTTTTTAAGTATGCTTTTATTGATTTTTTAGAGAGAGAGAGGATGGGGGAGAGAGATAGAAACATCGATGTGAGAGAGAAACATCCATCGGCTGCCTCCTGCATGCCCCCTACTGGGTATTGAGCCTGCAACCCAGGCATGTGCCCTGACCAGGAATCGAACCAGGACCTCTCCGTCCATGGGACCGTGCTCAATCCACTGAGCCACACCTGCCGGGCTGTTTACTCATTTTAAAAACCATACTCAGTAAAAGACAATTTGGAAAATGGAGGGAAGTAGGAGGACACCCTTGGTCTCTCCTCTTAAAGACCAAAGACAACTACAATTAATAGCTGGATATTTCCTTCATTTTTTTACTCTTTGCATAGTGTTTTTGTTATGTTTTGTTTTTCCAAATCAACATAAAATTTTATTGCAAAAATGAAAGCAATGCAGAAAAGTATAAAGGAGAAAGTATAAATCACCTGAAATCCCACACTGAGGCATATTTGCTGTTAACGTTTTAGGAGACATACTTTAAGATTTCTCTCTCTCTCTCTCTCTCTCTCTCTCTCTCTCTCTCTCTCTCTGTGTGTGTGTGTGTGTGTGTCTCTCACACACTCACACTCTCAACACTGGGTATTTTCAATTTGTTAAATTATTTACCAATTTGAATCAACCAAAAATATGTCTTTTTGTCATTTTAATTAGTACATATGACTTTCTACATAGTTTTAATCCTCATCAGTACAATAGTATCATCCTTGAATATGATAGAATAGAATATCATCGTGTTAAATAAGGGAATGAATTTAACTTATTTTAACTAAATTTAATTCTGTGATCATTGGGGTTAGATAAGAATTCTTACCTAGAAATTTCAGAAATAAAGTTTCTTCTTAGATCTTGTTTATAGGCTCAGAACAAAAGCCATGTGTATCTCTCCCCACTTCTGTTCCTGACATTGCCAATCATTCTGTTCTCCCACAGGAACAGAAAAATACCAAAGCAATACTACTGTCAAACTGCCATCAAATTTGAAGGAAATCTAATGTTATATTTAAACAGTTTATTGACACAAAGAATACATAAAAAAAGTGGTTGCCTCTGGAGACTGAGGTCTAAAGTTGGAAGGAAGACTAACTTTCTTCTGTGTATTCCTTTGGATGCTTCGCGTTTTCAAAATTACGTGTACGAGTTGCCTTTTTACTAATTGCTTGAAATAATATAAAGTAAAAATTGTAATTTTTAAATGAATAATACACAATAAAAGGAAAGGCTGAGTTGCTGCTGAGGTCCAGTTGGAAGGAAGAGCCACAGTTGGTTCACCCTGCTGACAGGGCTGCCTGGGGAAAGTCAGTTTGCAGGGACTGCACTGTTCCAGGAGAGAAGCAGGGATCTAGAGAGCTTCTGCTTAGGATTGGGGTGTGATGGAGAGGAGCTGTTAATAACGAAATAAACACCAATCCCAAATGGGAGCTACGGGCATCACGGGGTGAGCCCGCCCTGCCTCTTAGGGAACAAAGATGACTAACCGCTTCCTAAAATATTAAAAGAACTTTCCATGTGGTCTGTTAAATTCATCTACACCTTTATTCCCCAGATACATTTTTAGACAGGGCGGGGTGTGTGTGTGCTAGCTTTGCCAAGCTCATCCTAGCTTCACAGGGAGAGGAAGGCCTCCCATCCCCCCCTCTGTGGGATAGACTGTGGGAGGGCCCACACTGCATTCCTTGCCCTTCCCTCCCCTGGAACTTCTCTCTCTTGCTCTCTTTATGAAGCTCTTCCTTGGCAGCCAGGGTCCTCCCCACAAATCTGTTTTCTAAATGACTGCTCCGGGGAGGAGAGCAGAGGTGTCAGGGTGCTTACTGCCAGCCCCATTCTTGCCCTCACCCTCTACCCCCTGCATGTCTCAAAAAGTGAGCATCAACCCAAGCACCAAGAGGTTTGCCCGTTTGATTCCCGTTCAAGGCACATGCCCGGGTTTCCTGCTCGATCGCCAGTAGGGGGCCTGCAGGAGGCAGCTGATCAATGTTTCCCTCTCATCGATGTTTCTCTCTCTCTCCCTCTCCCTTTCTCTCTCTCTAAAAATAAATTTTAAAAGATATATGAAAGAAAAGGTGAGGATTGGGGGAGAGATCGTGCTTATGCTGGCTCTATTCTCTGTGACCCTCCCAGTACCACCTTCTTCCAGTTAGGAAACAAAATATCAAGTTTTCCCATGTAGAGAATTTTGATAGCCTTTTAAAACAGTAAGCTTATATACATATATATATATATATATATATATATATATATATATATATATATATATTTACTTCAATTAAATAAAAAAGGAAAGAAAAAAAAAAACCTTACTGGATAGAGCCCCGGAATGAAGGGCAATGGAGTATAGTCGGTCATTCACCAAGTCTGCAGGGGATGCCTGTCTACCAGGCAGGGACTTCCGGGCACTTACAGAGCTTACCTCTAGCAAGGGAGACAGACAATAAACAGCAAACCTAACAGATAAGCACATCATATGGTATATGCAATGGTGGTGAGTGCTAAGGGGGAAATTGGAGACAAGAGAGGGGGTTGGGAGGGCGGCTGGGCAGTGCCTTGAGTTTCTCCTTGGTTACAACACAGCAGACCCAGCAAGTGTGGCCTCGCTAGGGCCTGGCAAACGGAAGGTGCCCCATGAAGTTCATTTCCTTCCAGTTTTCTGTGCCTAAAAATTCTCATAGCAGCGAGTTTGAACTTTACCCTTTCTACACAGCAAGCAGAGGACAGCTACGTGCTGAACAGAGGTGGACCATGTAAGAAAACCACCCCACCGTCAGGCTCTTACCTTGGTGGTATTGCAGGGGGCAGTACTCCCCAAATTAAAGATTATATTTTATGATAATGCTTTTCATTATACAGGGGTTGGCAAAAGTAGGTTTATAGCTGTGAGTACATGAAACACAGTTTGTTCTTGTATTATTATTTTTTCTTGGATTATGTATTTTTCCATACAAACAACTATAAACCTACTTTGCCCACCCTGTGTATAAATGTAAAGCAAGTTTCCAGCACCGGGAGGCAAGACAAGACTGTAAGTCACGCTGGCCGTTTTGGTTTGGTGGTTAGAGGGTAGGCCCATGGACTGAAGGGTTGCAGGTGTGATTCCTGGTCAAGGGCACATACCTGGTTACCTGGGTTGCAGGTTCAATCTCCAGCTCAGATCAGGGCCATGCAGGAGGCAACCAACTGATATGTCGCTCTCTCAGTAATGTTTCTCTTCTTCCCTCTCTCTCTTTATTTCTTTCTCTCCCTCCCTTCTTCCCTCCCTTCCACTCTCTCTAAAAAAATAAAATCAGCCCTTGCCGGTTTGGCTCAGCGGTTAGAGCGTCGGCCTGCGGTCCAGAGAGACCCGGGTTCAGTTCCCGCTAAGGCATGTACCTCGGTTACAGTTTGTCCCTGGCCCTGGTTGGTCATGCGGGAGGCAGCCACTCGATGTGTCCCTTTCACATCGATGTTTCTCTCTCTCTCTCTCTCTCTCTCTCTCTCTCTCTCTCTCTCTTTCTCTCTCTTCCTCTCCCTCCCACTCTATCTAAACAAAAAATGGAAAAATGTCCTCGGGTGAGGATAAAAAAAAATAAAATAAAATAAAATAAAATCAATGGAAAAATATCCTCGGGTGAGGATTAACAACAAAAAAAGACTGTGTGGAATGTGCTTATGGATTCAGGGCCACAAGGATTGAGGTGAGCTCAGACGCTCCTTTTAGTTATTTATTTTTAAAAAAACTTTTTTTCTTTATTGATTTGAGAGAGAGAGGAAGGGGGACAGATAGAGATGGAAATATCAATGAGAGAGAACATTGACTGGTTGCCTCCTGTATGCCCCCCACTGGGCATGTGCCCTGACCGGGAATCGATCCAGCGACCTCTGGGTGCATGGGTCAGTGCACAACCACTGAGCCACAGTAGTTGGACTCAGAAGCTCTTTTTTTATTTTTATTTTTATCCTCATCTGAGGACATTTTTTCTATATTTTTGTTGAGATAGAATGGGAGGGAGAGAGAGGAAGAGAGAGAGAGAGAGAGAAACACTGATGTGAAAGGGACACATCGGGTGGCGGCCACCCATACGACCCAATCAGGGCCAGGGACAAACTGCAACCAAGGTATGTGCCCTTAGCAGAAACCAAACCCGGGTCTCTCTGGACCACAGGCTGACGCTCTGACCGCTGAACCTAATTGGCCAGGGCTCAGGAGCTCTTTTTAAAGTGTGCCTTGGGTCCTGGCCAGTTTGGCTGAGTCGTAGAGCGTCAGCCCGCAGACCAATGAGTCTCGGGTTTGATTCCAGCCAAGGGCACGTACCTCAGTTTTGGTTCATCCCCAGCCCTGGTCAGGGTCGTGCAGGAGGCAACCAGTCGATGTGTCCTTCTCATGTTGATGTTTCTCTCTCTCCCTTTCTCTCCCTCCCGCTCTATCTGAAGATAAATAGAAAAGTACCCTCAGGTGAGGATTAAAATAAATAAATAAATAAAGTGTGCCTTGGTCTGGGTGGGGTTACAAGGATATATGCATATGAAAGAATGCGTGTAGCTGTAGTTTAAGACATTTTTAATATGTGTAAATTACACCTTAGAATAAAAAGAAAGTTGCGATTGCTGTTGACCTTGAATGCGCCCATGCTGGCGGTTCTTCAGCTCTCAGCTGTGTGCTGGGAGGGGGCCCTGGAGCCTGGGCACCAGCAGGGCAGGTTCTCAGGACAGGGTGCAGGGGGATCTGCCCAGGGACACCTGCATTGTGCGGAAGCCCCAGACAAGCCTGTGGTCACGCTACCTTTACTGATGTCCCTGAATTAAGGGCCCTCGGCTGGAGGAGGGGCACGAAATAACCCACACAGGAAACACAGAGTGAGTCCTGGCAGGGCCACTGGGTCTCAGGGACAAAGCTCTTATCTGGCTGAGAAGGCACGTCTTCCCCGCTTCCCAGCATCCACAACAGGCAGCTGCTGAGTAGTAGTGAGGTCACGAAAGAGTCGCAGGCTAGATGGGAAGTGGCTGTCTGCACTGAAGAAGCCCGCTGGCTGAGTAAACATGGAACCACCCTCCATCTCCATCTCACCCTGTCTTCCTCTGTCTCTGTCTCCGTATTTCTCCCGGAGTCTCTAGGACTCTCTCTGCCACACAAGACACACTCAAGATTCTATACCTTCTGTACCAGACACCTAACACCCATCTAAGGGTGCACAGGTTGTTCACAGCACGAGCCCTCCGAGATTTCAGTTGTTTGTTCTCCCTAGAAGAGCGTGCCCTTGGGAGGAGCCCAGGCATGGTGGGAAGGCGCAGTACCAGAAGCCTGAGTAAAACTGGCAGGAGTGTGTCCACCCTCTCGGCACTCACTGGGTGCTCCCTGTTCTTCTCTCCAGGAGGCAGTGTTGCATTGCCCAGAAGAAGGCCAGTTGGCCAGAATCCAAAATGTTATCCAGGAGCTTCCCCCATCCCATTACCGGTAAGAGTCCTTGGTGAAAGAAAGGCACAGCCGGCCAATGTGGTGTCATACCACAGATGCAGGCTGGCATCATAAAAGGGAGTAAGTTCAGTAGACAGTGGCTTTCCTGGGACATTTTGAGGTGGGGGAACAGGTCACCTTTCTCAGAGTGAGTTGGTGTCAGACTGGGGACATCGATGGGAAGGGGCAGCCGTGTCCCAGTTACTTGCAGGATCCCCCAGAGCCCCACCCAATTCTGATCACACAAGGACATTCTCACAGTGAAATCCTAGGTTCTTACCCAGATTTGTAGAGTAACCAAATCTATGGAAACCAAGATGGTTTCAAAACAGGGTCTGATTTGGCTGACCGATCTCTCTGCGTATCAGGACCATCCCTTACACCCATCCTTTCATTTCAATCGCACAACTTAGCCCCTGCTCTCGCCCCTTTCCCAGTGTTCCCTGAGCCCGCCCATCTGTTACAGGGGCAGATTTAATGTGGTATAAGAAGGAACTTTCTAGCAATAATAAATGTTTTTCATTTAAGACCATCCCCCTTCCCCACCCTGGGCCAACATGCCAAGGGTCAAGAAAATTGCTTCCATCGTCTTGAGATCTTCTTGATAGTCCTCCAGAATTCATGAGGTAGAAATATTTATTTAGTCTCTCAAATCCAAATGTAGAAATTATCCCCAGGCTTCACACAGGCCCTAAAGTTTCTTACTTTTGAAAAAACACAACTAAACAAAACAAACCTTACAGGACCTTGGAATACCTGATCCGACACCTGGCCCACATCGCCTCCTTCAGCAGCAAGACCAACATGCACGCCAGGAACCTGGCCCTGGTGTGGGCTCCGAACCTCCTCAGGTAACACCACCCTCACCTCCCCCCACCCCACGGGCTCAGAGCAGCCCACAAACTGAAACAAACCTGGATTCTTCAGCCCTGAAGCCCCTCAATGACAAACCTGTAGTCTTTTGTAGCACCTATGAATTAAAAGTGATTTTAAAAGCCTACTTTTTTGCCTGCAAACTTGGAAACTCCGGGTTCTAAAGACATTTTCTGGCTACCACCAGAACGTGATTAAGGTTATGGGTCAGTATTTTATAATTTCTTGAAAAGACCTTTCTTGTCTCGGTGGCTCATTGGCTTTTGTTGGTTTTGGTGAGGCCACAGCTGGCTATGACCTGAATCAGCTGCTTCATATGACTTCATAAATGAAGAGCTGCCCCATGGAACAACTGGGTGGACATGGAAGGAGGTCTGATGAAAAAAATCAGTTCCTATATATCCACTAATATAGTGTTATAGTCTTGTAATGTATAATTCCTGGTAATTGTGTTCAATTTGTTCAGTGTGTTGGGCTTCACGGTCTTTGAAGAGTTCCTTTCATTGGTCTCAATAGTTAAAATATTCTACAGATTAACAAACTGTTTACATTGGAGAGATGGGGCTTATACAAAAGACTTACGGGCTCCCCCTTACTGCTCTAGGGCTGACTCACTGAACTGAATGTGTTTCTTCCATGATTTAGGTCCAAAGAAATCGAAGCTACTGGTTGCAATGGAGATGCAGCCTTCCTTGCTGTCCGGGTCCAGCAGGTGGTGGTTGAATTCATATTGAATCATGTGGATCAAATCTTTAACAATGGCGCACCCGGTTCACTGGAGAATGATGGTAATGACTCCTCCTAGCATACATCCCAACAGCCCATCCTCCTTTCTTGCCTTAGTCATGAGGCTCAAGAATAAGTTAGGGTGGCCTTGGTTCTATTGGCACTGTGTATGTGCTGAACACTGTGTGCGTGTTGGGGGATCGTGCAGAGATACATCTGTATGTGTTTGCAGGTGGCTATAGCATGTTTCTGATCGGTTGCACACTTGGACTAGCCCGTGACTGTGGCATGGCGAACCGTAATAATGTTCTCTTGGTTTCAGTAAGTTCTTAAACTCAAGTTATTATCTAGAGGCACTGGCAACATCCCCCTCTTTAACTATTAGAATTTATCTTTACTTTCAGTATGACATATTTCAGAAGACCCTTATGCCTTCAGCTTGAAATCTTAAGTGAATGAAATAAGAGGCAGTATATTCAGAATGCATTCCCAAGCACTTCTTTTTTGTTGTTGTTAATCCTCACCCAAGAATATTTTTCCATTGATTTTTAGAGAGTGGAAGGGAGGGAGGGGAGAGAGAGAAACATCAATGTGAGAGAGACACATCAATTGGTTGCCTTCCACACGACCATGACCAGGGCTAGAACCTGCAACCCAGGTACATGCCCTTGACTGGGAATCAAACCCATGACCCTTTGGTCTACAGGCTGACACTCTAACTGCTGAGCCAAACCAGCCAGGGCCCAAGCACTTCTTGAGTACTTACTTTGTTTGCCCTACACTAGATACTACATATACAAAAATGAGTGTGTTTGTAGGCATGTGTGTGCAGAGACTAGTTAGCATACACTAGTTAGCCCAGCTATTTCAGGCTGGGCTAATGTTGTGGGATGCAAAATAGTGTATTTCAGTCCCATAGTAACTTATAATGGCATAGTGAACCCTAGGAATGAATTGGGTAATGTTGCTTGAACTCATGAGAGCCTAATTTATAAAAACCAGAAATCCAATTGACCAAGAAGAAATGGTGGGAGAAAATGGTGGCAGAGTAGGAGGAAGTTACACTCACCTCTTCCCAGGACCAAACAGGAATTACAACAAAATTATAGAACAATCAACCTGAATAACCAACTGAAGTCTAGCTGAACAGAAGTCTTATAACCAATGTTTTACAGAAGAAGCCACATCAAGACTGGTAGGAAGGGCTGAACACAAAAAGGGCTGGCCCTACACCCATGCACGGTGGCTGAGAATCCAGAGGAGTATCTCAGTTCCAAAGGTCCCCCCTGAGGAACATAGGGTCTTAACCCCATGCTGGGCTCCCCAGCCCAGAACAACAGAGCCAGGAAGAGGTGCCCACATAACATCTTGCTGTAAAAATCAGCAGGTATTTGGTCTCACCAAGAAGAGACGGAAGTCTGCTAGTGACCCAGGTGCCCTCTAAAAGGGCCAGTTCAGCCCTGGCCGGTTTGGCTCGGCGGTTAGAGCGTCTGCCTGCGGTCCGGAGAGACCCGGGTTCGGTTCCCGCTAAGGGCATGTACCTCAGTTGCAGTTTGTCCCCGGCCCTGGTTGGTCGTGCGGGTGGCAGCCACTCGATGTGTCCCTTTCACGTCGATGTTTCCCTCTCTCTCTCTCTTCCGTTCTCTCCCTCCCACTCTATCTGTGCAAAAAATGGAAAAATGTCCTCGGGTGAGGATTAAAAGGGCCAGTTCACAAAATCTGGTCCACAGTCACTCACCCAGGGCTCCAGCAGAGGGAGGGCAGCTCAGAGTGGACTAGGGCCTTGTGAGGACAAACTGGATTGTGTGACGCTGGGAAGAGTTGAAGGGACAGTCACCAGGGTCCCTGTGCTGAGTCCCTCTCCCACACCACCCACAGACACTATCTTTCCTGGGTCAAGCACTCCCCTCTAAACTGCTCTGGCTTGGGGGAATGGCACAAGCCCCACCCTCTCATCCCCCTGCCCAGCCGAGCTCATGATCTGCAGAGGAGTCTACTGCCTGAGCTTGTGGTATAGACTTTCTTGAAGGGATCTTGAGGGTGAGCTCAGGAAGAATCAGAGGCAGAGTTGTGTGGTTCCAGGGCAGAGACTCTTTCCCTTCCTGCTCCCCACAGTGCACCAGAGTACCAGTGAGCATACGGTGCCTGCTTCCTGAGGACCAGAGTACCTGTACCCTGCCCCCTGCAGGCCAGAGTAGCTGCATCACGCCTGCCCGGAGCACCCTGCTCACCATTGCCCCACCCCCATGAACCAGAGTAGCTGCCACACATGCCCAGAGTGCATGAGAGGTTGTGCCCTGTACCCGTTGGCCAGAGTAGTGGTGCCCCAACTTCCCAAGGGAGATCCACTAGCTCTACCCTCCCAAGTCTCAATGGCCCTGCCCTGCAGAGCTTGCATTCTGCAATGTTTTCAGTGGGCTGTGGCCAGCCTGGTCCCCCAGTACAGAAGAGTCTCCAGGAGGTCTGGACAGACTGGGAAGAACTGAGTTTTGCTGCTCTTGGGTGGGACCGTTTTCCCTCGCACACCAGACCAGCACCACCATTCCTGTGCACAGGCCCTCCCTTCGCACACCAAATCTTGGTCTGTTTGGGCGTGATGAACACTGCTGGCCTCCCCCTGATAAATTCTGAGACCCTGCCCCACCACAATGGTCCATAGGCACCTGGCGAGTGGCAGCTGACCTTGGTGTACCCTGAGACTGCTCCTGAGTGGCCACCGACACAGCACTGGTGCCCAGTTTGAACCTGTACCAGTTGGGTGAACACCACTCGCCCCACCTGGCGGCTCACTGAGAACCTACCTTGCGCAACTCACGTACCACCACAGGCTCTTTCAGGGACTGGGCCAAGCAGGCATCTAGCTGGCACAGGCAAGGGCAGATCTCGGGGAGCTGTGGGCCTTTTCCTGACCTGCCCTTGGGCTCCATGCTGATGAAAACCAGCCTTGGTGTGCAGCTAGACCACTCCCACAAACACCAGACCCAGCAGAGACAACCATAAACTGTGGATCGCTTTGTAGCTCCAAACAGGTAGCATCCACTATGGACAACAATATGGAGTTTTATCAAAATATTAAAAATGGAACTTCCTTATGACCTGTTTTCCACTTCTGGGGATTTATCCAAAGATACCCAAGACACCAATTTGAAAGAATATGTGCACCCTTATGTTCATTGCAGCATTATTTACAGTCACCAAGATATGGAAGCACCCCAGGTACCCCTCTTTAGACAAGTGGACAAAAAAATGGTGGTACATATTTACAGTGGAATATTACTCAGCCATAAAAAATAATGAAGTCTTACCATTTGCAGTAGCATGGATGGACCCAGAGGATATTATACTCAGTGAAATAAGTCAGAGAAGACAGTTACCATATGATTTCATTTATATGTGGACTATAAAAAACAAAATAAGTGAATAAACAAAATTGAAGCAGACTCATAGACACAAGGAGAGAACTGGTTGTCAGAGGGGTAAGGTTTGGGGAACTGGGTGAAAGAGGTGAAGGGATTAAGAAGTACAAAGTGGTAGCTACGCCCTGGCCAGTTTGGCTCAGCGGTTAGAGCTTCAGCCCACGGACCAGAGAGTCCCAGGTTCAGTTCCCGCTAAGGGCACATACCTCGGTTGCAGTTTGTGCCCGGCCCTGGTTGGGGTCATGTGGGTGGTAGCCAGTCCATGGGTCTCTCTCACATCAATGCTTCTCTCTCTCTTTCTTCCTCCCTCACTCCCTCCTGCTCTATTGAGGATATAAAAAAAAAAGTGGTAGCTACAAAATAATCTCGGGGACTAAGCAAAGCATAGGGACTACGGTAAGTAGTATTGCGGTAACTATGTATGGTGCCAGTTGGGATAATGGAAATATCTAGGGGAACACTAATATGATTGTTTGGCTGCTGGCATATACACCTGAAACCAATCCAAAATAAAATTGGGGGAAAAAATAAAGGAAAAATATCTCATTAAAACAAATAAACAAAAAGAAACCTGGTTACTACCATTTGTGTGGCAGTGGTTTTCCAACATCAGTGTGCATCAGTGCCACCTAGAGGGCTTGTTAAAACACAGGTTACGGGGCCTCATCCCCAGAGTTTCTGACTCAGCATGTCTGGAGTGCTATTGAGAATATATGTTTCTAACGAGTTTCCAGGTGATGCTGCTAGTGGTCAGCATCCACATGTGGAGAGCCAGTGGTGTCTGAGAACCACATATACATTATTTGTGTTAGCTGACCAAAGCGCTCTTTTCCAGTTTAGTTAATGTATTTGGAAAAGCAAAGTATAATCATCAGACTCCATTTCAATTACCATCAACTTTTGATTCCTGTTCCCATCTCACCCTGTTCCCTATGTGGTTTATGACCATTCTTTTAAGAAACATTTTTGAGATAAAATTTGTATACCATGAAATCACCATTTTATCATTTCAGAGTGTAGAACTCAGTGTTTTTTACTGGAAGTATCCAGAGAATTGTGCAACCATCACCACTATCTGATTCCAGAACATTTTCATCACTCCAAAAAAAGAATCCCATACTCATTAAGCAGTCATTGCACATTTTCCCCTCCTCCCAGATCCAGGCAACCACTAATCTACTTTCTGTTCCTATGGCTTTACCTCCTCTGGATAGTTCATATAAATGGAATTATGTAATACATGATCTTTTGCGACTGACTTCTTTCACTTATATGTTCTCAAGGTTTATCCACATTGTCATATGTATCAGTATTTAATTTCTTTTTATGGTGGAATACTATTCTATTGTATGAATATACCACATTTTATTTATCAGTTGATGGACATTTGGGTTGTTTTTTGAGTAATGCTGCTATGAGCATTCATGCACAAGTTTTTGTGTGAACATATGTTTTCAATTCTCTTGGTTATACACATAGGAGCGGCTGACATTTCTCTTATCTTTATTTTAATTCTCCCATTATAGATGTATTATATATCATAAGCTATATAAATCCTTTTTGAAAGTGAGAGGTAATATGTATTCATTCATTCATTCTTCCTTTTGAGGCAACCAGTAATTTATTGTGGACTTATTCTGTGCCAAGAACTGTGGCAAGCATTCCACATACTTCATCTCATTGACTTATAAAGTTGTTATCAACCTCATTTTATACGTGAGGAACCGGAGAAGCAGAAAAGCTTAGTAACTCTCCAAAGCCACACAGCTAGTAACTGGTGGGACTGACACTGAACCTATGATCTTCCAGCTATGCGCATTTCTTAAGTCCGTGCAGCCTCTGTGAGGAAAAAAATAGGAAAATAGATGAACAAACCACTGTGGTTTATTTATTGTGAATGACTTTGGGACAGTGTTCTTCTAGACAGCAGCTCCATGACTGTCAGTGTTAAGGTTTTCCTAATTCTAACCTGAAAGTGCCTGTTCTTTTTGGGACCATTGCCTTGACCATCTTTGGTCCTGCGTGTTGAAATCCAGTTTACTCTTGACCCTTGAACTCTTCATTGTCTCCAGTACTTACTATTCAATGCATTTCATTTACATGTTCTTCTTATGAATCTGCATTGAGTTTGGTAAGGTAACATATTTAATGTGTACACAAAATGGAGTAAGTCATCTCTCTGAAATTTTAGACTAGGAAATAGGGTTCTATTTCAAACTGGAAAGATGATAGAACTCATAGAATCCAATACCTTTAATTGATCAATGCGAGTGGTGCGGCCAGAGAGACTGTGCTGTATATCCAAGATTCCTTAAAACAAGTATGTGCTGAGCACCTCCTATGTGCCAGGCACTGTTCTAGACACTGAGGACAGTGTCGTCACACAAACAGCAACGTCGCTGCCCTGCATAGAGCAGTAATCAGGTTGGGAGGACAGGCAATAAGTAAGTTTACAAATAAATGTATTATCACGTCAAAGACCAAAATGCCATAAAGAACAGACAGCGGGCCAATGGAGTGGTTAGTGACTTGGGGTGTTATTTGGGTACAGAGTGGTCGTGGTCTCTGAGGAAGTGATCTTTGAACTGAAACCTGAGTGACTAAAGGAACCGGTCATGTGAGGATGTGGGGGCGCATGTTGCAAACAGAGAGCGAGGAGTATGAAAGCTCTGGGGTGGGAAGGGGCTCATGGTGTTGCAGAAGGTCAGCCAGTGCAGCTAGAGCCAATGTGGTCTCCGAAGTGGGGTGCTCCACCTGGTGAGGCACCAGAGGTCAAAGTACCGAAGTATGGGCGCTAGAAGAAACGATTACAGTTTCTTCTTTCACTCATTTGTATTGTATGCTTTGCAACTTCTATGATTTTGTGTGTTTTCAATTGTATATAATACTGATACAGTGGTAAGTATGTGTAATTTGCAAATACATGCATATATACATGATAGGAGTATACATTCAAACATTTCCGTGTATCTTTGTAGACCACTGGGTCAGTGGGCAAAGAGGGGAGGGGAAGCAGATGGGGGCCCTTTAGGTCAGGCTGCGTCTGGTTTGTTCTCAGTGCCCTGGCAAGCACTGGAGGACTCTGAGCAGGGAGTGCAGGGTCTGAGCATTCTGGCTGCTGTGTGGTGGAGAGACTGAAAGGCACCAGGCTGGCACCAGGGAGACCATTAAGGAGCTATGGCAGAAAGCAGGTGGGACGTCATGGTGACCGGGGCTAGTGTGTTTGGGGGAACAGAGGAACGTGGCTGGATTCAGGATATATCTCAGAAGTTGAGTTACAGGACTTGATTATAGTCTGGATGTGTGTGTACATGTGTGTGTGTGGGGGGGGGTACGTCAAAGAAAGGAATGAATGAAAAAATAACTATTACAGGTTTTGGTTTATGCACCTGGGTAATCCATGGTGCCATTTACCAATTTGAAGAAGATGGGAGGAGGTGCTGGTCTAGAGGTGAGGAGCAGACATCACAGCTCTGTTATGAAGTGGAGAGCTGGAGATGCCTGTTGAGCATCTAGGCAGAGCTGAGGAGTAAGCCTTCGGATCCTGGAGCCTAGCAGTAGGGGGAGAGGTAGGTGCTAAATTGAGGTCTCCTGACCCTGTATTTTCTTCCACCGTTCCAGTTGCTCCCAGAGTGATTTAATTTTTTAAGTAAATAAATAATTAAGCAACAAAATAATATTCTAGAATCTACAAACAAATATTGAGAGTAAATTAAATTCAAATACTTTAACCTCCTTTGGACTAAGTAGAAAAACCGAGTTAAGGTCAAAACGTCACTGACAAGTTTTTAGGATCACAAATTTACTCACCTGGCTGGCTGACGGCCATACCCTGCTACCCAGAACACCCCAGTGCCACATCCTGTCTCCGTTTTCTACAAGACCCATTTTCAGGGGTTGGATTTTCCTCCACTCAGAGAGGGTCTTGCTCTGCAAAGAGAAACAGTACTATCAAGGTGCTTTCTGAACACTAGGCAAGTCTTGTACAAAAAACTCATTTCTTAGTCTTGGTTAGTCTAAGTTATTATTATTATTTTTAATCCTCACCCTCTGATATGTTTTGAGAGAGGGGATGTGGGAGAGAGAGAGCCCGGCCGGTGTGGCTCAGTGGTTGAGTGTCCACCCATGCACTAAGAGGTCACTGGTTTGATTCCTCCTGGTCAGGGCACATGCCCAAGTTGTGGACCAAATCCCAAGTGGGGGTCTTGCAGGAGGTGGCCAATCAATGTTCTTTCATCGATGCTTCTACCTCTCTCTCCCTCTCCCTTCGTCTCTCTCTAAAAATCAATAAAGAAAAAAAGAATTTAAAAGAGAGAAGGAGAGAGAGAAACATTGATGTGAGAAGGAAACATTGATCAGTTGCCTCCCATGCACACCCTGACTGGGGATTGAATCCACAACCTTTTGGTATAAGGGACGATGCTCAAACCAACTAAGCCACCCAGCCAGGGCAGTCCAAGTTATCTCTGAATCTCTTCACACCTTCCAAAGTTACGGAAAACTGGCAAGGTTGCCAAAAGACTAGAGAGAGGCAAACTTAGACCGCTTCTTTTTTCCTTAGGTCAGGGTTTCTCAGCTGTGGCACTATTGACTCTTAGTGCCCACGAGTCCTTGTTGAGGGGCACTGTCCTGTGCGTTGTAGGGTTGCAGCAGCATCCTTGACCTCTGCCCACTGGTGACAGTAGCACTCCCGCATGTATTGTGACAACCAGCATGTCACCAGACATTGCCAAATATCCCAGGCTGGAGGGAGGGTGCAAAATTGCCCCAAGTGGAGAATCACTGACTTGGAGAAAAGAGATTACCCTGGACTCCACGATCTATCATCACTTGTATTTCTAAAATCAAAAAAATAAATAAATGAAAACAACTACAACAACAAAAAACAATAGAAGGGCAGGATTAGCTTGCAAATACTAGTAGATGACTGAGGACTGAGTAACTAGCTCCTTATCTTTTAGAGAATAGTATAGGCTGTTAAATGTCTTCGGACTGCAGGGAGACAAGCCTAGGTTGTCTAGGGAAAGTATAGGTTCCAAGCATAAATCGCCCCGGAGCCCCTGTTTCCAGCTGCAGAACGAAGTTCCCGCCTTACCCTCCCTGAGTGAAGCTACCTCCCACCTGGCCAAAGCACTGAGCCATTTCCAGGGTTAGAGACCCCCTGCTGTTACTCCGGCCCACAGTTAGTGCTCAACGTGTGTCTGTCATAGGAATGAATGAATACATGAATGGTTCCTCTGAAAAATAGTGCATTTTACCTCCTGAGGGTCCCATGTGCCCTCTGGCTAGTCTGGCCAGGCGAGTTGTCAAGTTTTCTGTATGCAGACTCTGCCCCAGACCCCACCAGGCCCAAGAGGAGTCCCCTGTCGGGGTCAGGAAGGGGAGAGCTGTGGAGGGGGGATCTGGCTAGACCAGTGCACAGGCCTCCTGCAGTGTGGTCGGGAGGAGCCTACCACACTGCACAGCTGGAGGGAGTGCCCGTCACACCGCGTGGTATGAGCTCTTCTCTTCTCTGCACAGAAAACCGGCCCATCACGAAGAGCCTGACCTTGCCAGCCCTCTCCCTGCCCATGAAGTTGGTGAGCCTGGAGGAAGCTCAGGCCCGGAGCCTCGCCACTAACCATCCTGCTAGGAAGGAAAGGAGGGAGAACAGCCTGCCTGAGATTGTCCCTCCCATGGGCACCCTCTTCCACACTGTCCTTGAGTTACCAGATAACAAGTAAGTGGTGTTCTTTGCAATTCTGGGAGATGATTGGGTGGAGGGAGACCGAGGAAGAAGACACCGTCTCAGAGCCATGATGGCAGCATGGGCTGGAGGTACAGTCTGGGGTATAAGGAAACACCCCAGAAGAGAAAGGAGCCGTCTCCACAACTCTCTCACTGCCCCAAAGTTATCAAGACCCTGATCCCTCACCTGAGAACCCTAGCACCAGGATGGAGGGGGCGCTCATAGGGGTCAAGAGTCATGAATAAAATCTCTTACTCCTTCGTTAGAAAAAGCAGGCTTGACATTTTCAAAAGGAATTTTTCTAAACAAACAAAAAAACACAACTTGTCCCCCCCCCCCCCCCCCCAGCATTAGTAAAGGCAGGGAGACGAATGGAGGACAAGCTGACCGACAGCGCCGCTCTAGGCTGGAGGGCTGGGCATGCAGCCCTTGGAGATGCCCTCTCTGGCTTCCGTGCCCCCTCTCCTGCCTGCGGAGCACGCCCTCTCCTCCAAAAGCACACCGAACAGTATCTAAACCATAGGATATTTTCTTTCCTCCTTTTTCCCTCTCCCTTTCTCTGTTGCAGACCTGGTCTTCACACCCCACTGTAAAGAGGAGGCAGACGGTGGGGGGAGGGGTCCTAAATCCTAGGCAGATGGTGGGGGGAGGGGCCTAAAGGCAATCTTTCATTGGAGCGTGTCATCCTCCCCGTTTGGTCAATATGAAAACAGACCCCTCGCTCTTGCCAGTGTCCTGGCCAAGATGGCAGGACTGTGTCCCTTGGGGGAGGGGGAGGAGCCCTACCACATTGCACAGCTGTGGGGAGTACCCGTCACACTGTGTGGTGTGACTGGAACCCGGAACTCACCTGGCGGGAACCCCTCCATTTCCTGTAGTACAGGGATGGTGCCCTCCTGGAGAGTGAATTCCACCCGGGGAGCAGGGAGAAGAGTTCCTCGGAAGAACCATCAAGTGCATTTTCTCTGTGCCTTCAACCACACCTGAGGTGCACCATACCCCAGTTTCTCTCACCCTGTCAAATCTACCCCAAGGCCAAGTGCTTGACAAAAAACAAGTCGGATCCAAAGAAACCACCACTCTGATTGATGGTAAAAAATTAAAAAATAAAAACATGCTGGGCTCGAGCCCTGGACGGCTTGGCTCGAGATTAGAGTGTCAGCTGATGGACTGAAGGGTCTTGGGCTCGATTCCAGGTCAAGGGCACGGGTCTGGTTGCAGGTTCAATCCCCAGCCCCGGTCTGAGTCATGCGGAAGGCAATCAATCAATGTGTCTCTTATACTGATGTTTCTCTCTGTCTTTCTCTCCCTCCCTCCCATCCACTCTATCTAAAAAATCAATGGAAAAAATATCCTCAGGTGAGGATTAACAGCCCCCCTAAAAAAACATGCTGGACTTGATATCTGAGTGCTCTATGAGAACCCTGTAGAGAAAAGGTTCCTTGTGGAGCCGTGGGTTGCAGGGTTTCATCCTGGAACTTGACCAAGTCGCAATGCCGGGCGGAGCCAGAGCTGGGCCAGAGCTGGGCAAGGCATCTGTAGTGGCCCCTGGCGGTGACCCCTGGCGGCGCCGTGCTCTTGGGATCCAGTTCAGCACTCTCATTTCCCCGCCTCCTCCTGGAGGGCCTGGTGCCAGGCTTCAGGGAATGAGAGGCACCCTAATTACACTGGGCATTTCTCTGCAGTGACCACTGGCCACACCCAACAGACTGCCACTCTCCCAGGCCAGACTCTCTCCCAAATCGCTTTCTCGTACACCCGCTTTGTAGTCCATGCATGTCTTCACTGGCCCTTTCTCACCTGTGGATGTGACAGCAGCGTGGCCCACGGTGCAGGGAGCATAACAGGACTGAGGTCTATGGTGTTAGTGTTTACTGCTACAGAAAAGAGGGACCGCTGAGAACCCAAGACTAAAGTGCTTACTAGAATTCCTACCAGAATTCCCAGAACTGTGTGGTTGCTTGTGACCTCTGAGTCTCCCATCAGTCCTTGCCTGTTTGCCCCACCACTGCCTTTAATGGCATGCCTCTGCCGCTTCTCTGGGGAATGTGGTCCTTTGTTCTGACTCATGAAAGCCTAGCTTGGTCATCTAGGGCATCCCCAGACAGGGTGACAGTCGCGCTCAACTTGGACTTGAGAGAAGAATTCCCTGAAATGTCAGAGCTATTCATAACTAGAACACATTTGGGGTATTCCTTCTCAAGGTAAAAGCCCCACTGAAATGACTAGTTACCACACTAACCCCTTATGGCTTGACTCTTTTAGAAGAAAGCTCTCCAGTAAATCGAAGAAGTGGAAATCAATCTTTAACCTGGGACGTTCTGGATCGGACTCCAAGTCAAAGCTGAGTAGAAATGGGAGCGTGTTTGTGAGAGGACAGAGGCTCTCGGGTAAGAATCAACTGCAGTCGTGTCTATGAGAGATTTCCCCCAATTCTGCTCTTTAAGTCTTTGGCTTGGTCACATGAACCTCACTAGCCCTGAAAGAGAAACTTACACATTAGTCTTTCTGTTTTTACAAGAATAGTTGCAAAAAGAGTGCACAGAGAGCGCGTACACTCTTCACGCAGCTTTCCCAAATTTTAACATACTACATAATCGTAATCAAATGATCAAAGCCAGAAAATTAATGTCAGCGTAATACTATTAAACAAATTACAGGCTTTATTCCTGTTTGGCCAGTTGTCCTTCTTCTGGTCCAGGATCCAGTCCAGGAACCCACACTGCATTCGGTTGCCATGCCTCCTTCGTCTCCTCCAATCTAGAACAGGTTGTCCGTCTTTCTGACCTTGACACTTTGGAAGGGTACTGGCCATTTGTTTTGTAGAATACACCTAAGTGTGGGTTCGTCTCATGTTTTCTCACGATTAGATAGAGGTTATGAATGTTGTCCGGTCTCAGTGTGTCATATCAGGAGGCAAATGATCTCAATATCTTGTGGCTGGTGATATAACTTTGATCACTTGATTCAAGTGCTGTCTACAAGTTTTTGTTCCTGTGAAGTTACTATTTTTTCCTTTGCAGTTAATAAGTGTCTTGCGGGAGATGTTTTGAGACTACGCTAGATGTTTCTCACCATACTTTCCTCCATGAATTCTAGCATCCATCAGTGGGTCTTGCCGACAGCAGTTGTTACTGTGATGTTTGCCAAATGGTCATTTTCTAGTTCCATTATTTCTTCACATTTATTCATTGAACTCTACCATAAAGATCTGGCCCTTCTCCCCCAGAGTCAGGGTCATGATTTTAAAATAGAGATGTGAGTTATATCTGAGTAGTAAATAAGAATTAATACAGGAATGAATCAAAGGACCCACTATGCAAAGGAGAGTATAACCAATCCAGGTACTTATCGTGTTAGAAGGGAAGACCAAAGAAATTTGCCATCATGACCCCTTAGTGTTACAGATTGAAAGTATGATTTTTTTAAAATGGGGACAATAGTTATAAAAAACAAGTAGTAAAGGGTAAATGTACAAATGCAGTGAGCAAATCTTGATTGGATCCTAGTTTGAAAAAAAAAAAAAGGCTACAAAAGATAATTTGGGGGATGAATACATCGAATATTAGAATTATAAATTTTTATAGTATGCTAATGGTTCTTAGAAGACATGCTGAAGTTGAAGTGTATAAGGATGAAGTGTCACAATACTGAAATTCACTTTCCAGTGATTCAGCAAAACATCGGTGTGTAGGTAGATATAGATACAGAAATAGATAAAGCAAATATGTAGCAAAATGTCAGCCACGGATACCAACCAGGTGGTAGATTTAGAGGTCAACTTTTCTGTATGTTTGAAATTTTTAATAATAAATATTTGGAGGGGAAATGAATGCCTATAGGAAAAATAAGAGAATATTTTTCAGGATTTTTCTCGATCCCACTGATAATCTTGTGCCAGATGACAAAGCACAGATGTTCAACATCTTCCCTTTCGCCTCTTGGAGTAAAGAGGATGTCACAGGGTATAGCAGTTACAGTGGTTAAGGTTGTAAATAATAGCAGATCCAACTCAACTGGCTTCTGCAGTGAAGGGATTTATAGGGACAGAGATGTAGGGAAGGTCTCGGGTGGCGCTTTCTCATCGCCATGTTTTCCTCAGCTATGCCCTCCAGGGTGCATCCTCTTCATTCCCAAACTGCTTCGTTTGCTGCGATGTACTGGGCTTTAGTTCTGCTACAATAGTTCTGGGCTTTACCTTTGACCATCATTATGTCCAGAAGGAGAAAGAGCATCATTTTGGTCACTTGTTCTAAGCAGGGACCCCGTTTGTCCAGAAGCCCCTATCAGGCTCCCCCATCTCAATCGTAGTCACTGAGTCACGTGGATCCATCCCTATGGTCAAGGGAGTGCCCTACGCTGATTGGCTTGGGCCTGGGTTCCTGAACCAATCACTGGCTTGAGGAATGGGCTTACAGTCGGAGACTCCTAAGAAGGACAAGGGCTCTGTGAGAAGGGGGAAGGGAAATGGAGTCTGGGTAGGCATCAATATGCAGGATATAGAGAAACATTTCACAAACTACCCTGGAAAGATGGTCCAGGTGAAGAGGGTAGGTTGCCACAGGTATGATAAATCAGATAGATACAAAGCAGAATTAGGGTTCTCAAAGAAGTTAAAGGGAGGAGTATCTAGCAAGAAACTCCTTATCTATAATAAGAGATTTGCTTAAGCACATCAGAGGGAGTTTCAGTTACAGAATCAGTGATACAATCAAAGAAGTTCACCAAGTAATGAAAAGTCAAAAACAACAGAACAAAACAAGCAAAAATAAAATAAATGATTTGCATTGGTGTTGACTTAGGAAGTTTTCCATCCCTGTGTGGTTTCCAAAAGGAAGAAGTCCAAGGTGGATCACATGGCGGTAAACTCACAGAGCGCACAACATGACCCTGGACAGGGCTTCTCAGCAGGGCTGCACCTCCAAATCCCCCACAGAGTGGCCCCGCCCACAGGGTGGCCCCGCCCACTGCAGCTTTGCAGCAGGAGGTCTGCGGTGAAGTCAGAGTCATTTTTAACAGGCTCCCCAGGTGACTCTGATCTGCGGCCAGGGCTGAAAACTGCTGGATTAATATCTCATAAACAAACTAGCCAGAGGCAGATCATCACACTGGCTGCTTTTTGATAGGATGCAGGGATGAAATGAAAAAACCATCGGTGTTGATACAAGTGGCTCGCTGTGAACTTTACTCTTGCCTGTGTGGCCACTTATCACCAGAGGAGTGTTGCTGGAACCCTAGAAACTAAGGACTGGGGTGGGGGTGGGGGAGTTTATGATCATGTTCCACCCGCGTGGTCTCCCTAAGTGGCCTGTGCACTTGCAATTTGTTGAAATATGAACGTGAAAAAAAAAAAGTGAATTAATTAATCAGTGGATTAATATATTTAAATCAATTTTAATCTCTTTTAAAAACTCCTTAACTAAGGAAATTTAAAAAATTGATTCACCATGAATAGCACTGGGAATTTTTTTGGTTGGGGAACAACAGGGAAAAGGGTGTTTACCCATATTTAGAGAATGGAACAAAAATAGTAAGAAAAATTGGGGCATTGACTGAATAAAGACTCATAAACTGGTATACTGGAATTTGTATATTATCAAACAGGATTCCAGGGAACCCTTCCAAGGGAACTCCTTTGAGCGGGAAAAGCCCAAAGCCATGGGGATCATCTAAGAGGGCACTCAAGGACGGAAGATTGCCAGGTCCCAGACAGGAAAATAGAATCTAAATATAGTCACGGGCCAAGGAGCCCTGAATGCTTATTGTCTATCCAGAAAAGGGGCCAGGGAATCCGTGGTGACTGTTCCCGAAGGCAGCTGCTGTGGCCACCAAGGCCACAAGGAGAGGTGCACACGGATGGCCCGGCAGACAGAAGTGCGGCTCCCCCCCTGGACACTCAGGGTCCTGGGGCCCCGCCCTCAGGGCTGGCCAGCGGAAGTGCAGCTCCCAGGGAACAAGGGAAACGCTTGTTTCAGGATACAGGAACCAAGTGTCGCTGGCCAGGCAGTTTGAGGATAATAAATCAGTTTGTAACGTGTAAAAGTAGCAGATCTTCAAAAGATTAGAATTCTGACTTACGTTGGAGGTGAGGAGGGTGAAGGCACCCTTGCCATCCCCAGGGGTTTGAGTGAAGACGGCTGTGTGCTCTCTGCCGTGGGCCCCAGGCAAAGAGAGGCCCGAGGCGGGAGGCCCGGGAACTAATGCAGAGCCTCCAGAAGGAGCGGGTTTGGAGCAGGAGGACAAAGGTGGAAACTTTCAAAGAGGAACAAAGCTCAGTTTGGGTTGAGGCCAACTCTGAGTGCTTCTTTTAGAGCCATCTTCCAGCTTCCCTTTTGTTGCTGAACCCTGATCTCTCCCGAATAACAACAACAAGTTACTTTTTATTGAGCATCTACCCTATTCTCAGTCAGTGCAGTCTACTTATTTTATATGCATTACTCATTTAGTCCTCAGCTCTATTCGTCCTCATTGTACATGTGAAAAACGGAAGGTTAGGAGAGATCAACTGCTTATCTCAAGTCACAGGGCCCAAGAGTGGCAGAGTTGAGATTCAAGGCCAGATCCGGAGACTCAAGTTACCTGAAAGCCGCGAGTTCTGGGGCCCCCACTCAGCTTCCAAACCGCCCTCTTTCCCCTCCAGTTAATTCAGCTCCCTCAAAAGAGATATCTGTGAAAATGCCTAATCCTGCACCTGGAATGAGTTCTTACTTATATTTAAGCTTCACTCTTCCAAAACCCTGCTTAGGTGGCTTATGAAGATGCAGAGTCCACCAGGCACACAGTAGGTGCTCAGAAAAGGCTTGTTTGCTTGGTGTCTGGTCCAAGGAGCAGAGCTGCACGTGGGAGGAAGGTGACCAGGTCCCCGGGCCCTCTCACCTGTTGTACCACATCCTCAGGGCAGAGAGATATGGCTGTAGCCAAGACTCCTGCCCTCTGGCCGGCCAAAGGGAGGGGCTGCCTGGAGCCTCGTGGGTTTACCCCATAGCCGGATCTTTGAGTCTTGTTGTACAATAACACTGGGCTCAGGACTCCTCATTTGCTAATAGCTAGTATCTGACAAAGGTGTATCGATCTTTATCTGTATACTGTTACTACAGCCCCGATCTACAGACACCGTTTTTATAAGGTCAGTCCCACTCAGAAAGTAGGAACATCTAGGGTGGAGTGGGGGAATGTTTTCCACAGGGGGAAATTATAAATACTTGGAAAACTTTGCTAAAGAAAGTTTTCTTGTGTGCCGACAGCTCGACCTATTGTTCTGAACACTTCCTCTTACTGTGCATTCAACAGAGATATTTTTTCTTTTGTCTTTAGTGGAAAAAGCTACTATCCGGCCAGCTAAAAGCATGGACTCGCTGTGCTCAGTGCCCGTGGAAGGTGAGAGTTTACAGTTGTGTCTGGAACTGCGGAGACCGCTGGGAGGCTGGAGTTGCCACACTAGACTTGCCTTCATTAGCTGCTGGGACTGCTCGTCGCGTCACAGTCATGCGCAATCCCCCCAAGTCCCTCCTTGGCTTTTTTTTTTTTTTTTTAGAGAGGGAAAGGAAGGGAGAGAGAGATAGAAACATCAATGTGGTCCCCACTGGAGATCGAGCCCCACAACCCAGGCATGTGCCCTGACCGGGAATTGAACCAGGACCTCTCAGTCCATGGAATGAAAGGGGCTCACATTGCCCTTTCATTAACCCCTCCCTGGACTCCACTGCAGGGCAAGGCCTAAACGGCCATCCTCTAACCACAGATGGAGACAACAGCTACTTATGTTTCCACCTGAACCAGGCAAAAGGGAACCTGAAAACCAAGGCAAGAGCCAGGCACTGGTTTATACCTCAGAGTTTTGTGCCTCGATGCTTACGAATCTTGAATTTGCGCGTTTCCATAAACATTAGCTTCATCGTACTTGTCAAGTGATCGTTTGAGTTGGTAGATTCATTCATCAGTAAACATTGATAAGCACCAGCTTGGCATGTAGCTGGTCCCCCCTTGTGGGAGTAGATGTGTGCACAGTTGCAAGCTGTGTGACACCTATCATCAAAGCAACACCTCACTACCTTGGTTCTTACAGCTGTAGCCTTCAGGGCTGACTTGTCGGTACCTCCCTTTCTGCTACATGGCCCACGGCACTGCTACAAGTTACAAGGCACAGGACTTCCCTAGAACAGCCTGCACACCCCATCTTTACCCCGTGACTTTCCGACCCCTTTAGAGAAAACAGTCTGTTCTTTGATAAATGAAGCAACCTGAAATAATACAGAAAATCTTGAGAACAACTTTTAAAAATAATCATCAACTTGTAAAACCCTGAGTGAACTCTTTTTTAAATTGACTCAATATTTTTCTCATTTTCTCGCCTTTCTATGCATCCATTTGCTTTGGTTGTGAAAACCCCTTCAGGCAATTCTTGCCCAGTTTTACAGAATTTGACATTTCCAAATCCAGGTCAGCACTTTCATGGGCGTTGGGCAGGTTATCTAACCTCGCCAGTCTCTTTCCTCGGGAGTTAGAGATTATCACGCTTCCCCTGCAGAGCAGTGGTGAGAATTTTAGACCTAATGTCACATGTCCAGCAGAGCACTTAGTCCCTAGTGGGGATTACTTCCCAGATCCCAGGCAACTCACGTGTCATCTCCTAGCTTACTTGTTTCCCATACAGATCTTTTTCTTCTTTGTCTTCATTTCTCAGTCAGCCAGGAACTCACTCCTCATAACTGGGCTTTGTAACGTGGAATTAATTTGCATTTCTAGTTTCTCATCTTCTGAATCAGCAGGAGGAAGCCTGGGAAAAGGGAGAAAGGTCTAGCTGAGAACAGCATTTGTTTCCTTGCCTGGAAATCGAACCCCTGTTTGGGTCCATCTGCCAGAGGAGGCTTAAAACAATAAGTTCCAAAAAGTAAAATAAGATTCTGTTATTTTGCCCTTTTTGTCTCCTTCAATTTGAACAATCGTCATCTGCCATCTCCCATTCGTCTTTTTATTTTTCCATGATCTACATTTTTTGCTTGGTGGATGACCGCTCTGTTTCGCAATCTTAGCAGTATTTATTTATTTATTTTATCCTCACCGAGGACATTTTTGGCACTTACCTTCAGACAGAGCAGGAGGGAGAGAGGGAGGAAGAGAGAGAGAGAAACATTGACTGGGTGCCACCTACACGACCCCAACCGGGGCCAGGGACAAATTGCAACCGAGATACGTGCCCTTAGTGGGAACCAAACCCAGGGCTCTCTGGTCCGCAGGCTCAGGCTCTAACCACTAGCCAAACCGGCCAGGGTAGCAGTGGCCTTCTTTTGGAAACGCCTCTACTTGCAAAGCTGGAAAGAGATACACGTGACACACAGCAAACGTCCTTATCAGGGCATCGCCACACAGCGGGCACATGAGAAGATGCTTCCTTTCTTGTCAACCAGATGTGACGGTCCTGTCTGATCAGGGCAGCAATGCCCTCAGTTGAATGCTACGCCTGTCCAGGTGTTGCATGCCTTCCCTGACTGGAAGGCTGTGCAGTTGTGTGTGTGCCCAGGCTGCTGACCAGGTGTTTGTCTGCTTTTTTACTAGGGAAAGAGACCAAAGGAAATTTCAGTCGCACAGTCGCCACTGGTGGATTTTTTATTCCAGCAGCGAAAATGCACGCAACTAGCACTGGCAGCTCCTGTGACCTCACCAAGCAGGAGGGGGACTGGGGCCAGGAGGGGATGCCGGCGGGGGCCGAGGGCGGCTTTGACATGAGCAATGACCGAAGCCAACTCCCGGGTGCTCAGGCCCGGCCCCCGCCCGAGCAGCTGAAGGTGTTCCGGCCCATCGAGGATCCTGAAAGTGAGCAGACGGCCCCGAAGATGCTGGGGATGTTCTACACCTCGAACGACAGCCCCAGCAAGTCCGTCTTCACCAGCAGCCTCTTCCAGATGGAGCCCTCGCCCCGTCACCAGCGCAAGGCACTGAACATCTCTGAGCCCTTTGCTGTATCCGTGCCCCTCCGCGTGTCAGCTGTCATCAGCACCAACAGCACCCCGTGCAGAACACCCCCAAAGGAGCTGCAGTCTCTGTCCAGCCTGGAAGAGTTTTCTTTCCAGGGGCCAGAGAGTGGAGGTTGGCCTGAAGAGGAGAGACCACCAGGAGCTGAGACTTCTACAGGTAAAGCAGCGGGAAGAGGCCCTCTTTCCATTGCACGAGATTAAAAACGAGACAAATTTGCTTAAACAGAGTTTATGAGACAATGTCCTAAAGTGGCTAAAACTGTGGGCTGTGAGCCAGACTGCCTGTCAAGAAGCTGTCAATCACAGTCACAATGTACCTTTGTAGCCTGGTGCAAATAAAGATTTCTGTGACCGTAGGCAACAAGTCTTGACTTCTCAGGGTCTGAATGTACTTACCTGTGAAGTGAAAGATTGGATTGAGCAGAGTTTCTCAACCTTGGAACTTGGGGCTGGTTAATTCTTTTTTGTGGGGGATTGTCCTATGCTTTGTAGAGTATTTAGCAGCACCTGTGGCTTCTACCCACCAGTTACCACTCCCACCTCCCAGTTGTGACAGGCAAAACTGTCTCCAGACACCACCAGATGTCCCCTGGGGAGGGGAGGAGCATAATGATCTTCAGTTGAGAACCACTGGACGAGATGGTCTTCCATCTCTGACAGTGTGATTCTGGGATCTGAGCACAGGACATTGCTAGGAGGAAACTGTAGAGAATGTGAGAGAGCAGTGAGCTGGGAGAATTCCCTCCATCCTTGGGAAGCAGGACTAGTCCAGGTCAGTGACCGCTGGAACGACCTCTCTTAAAGTGAGTTATCAATCTCTTTCAACCGATAACTCTCATCCTCATTGCAGCTTCTGTACCTAAGAAGGTGGCTCTTGAGGACGCCAAGCCAGGACCAGAAGCAGCGAGGACAGAGGAGTGCAGCAAAGGCCTTTCCCTGGACCCAGGAGCCCAACTGGAGGAGAAGAAAACCTCAGAAATCTCCCTGAGCTGTCAACATTCAAGTGAATTGGAGAAGAGGCCCGATCCAGAGAAGGGGGAGGAGGGGCGAGAGGCTGGCCAGGTGGAGTCCAGTGCTCTGCAGGAGAGCCCCACGGCCAGGGCAGAAGGGGTGCTTCTCCATGAGATGGTAAGGTGCACCACTGTCTGGCCCAGCCAGGAGAGTCCTCTGTTGCCCAAGTAGATTTTTTTTTGTTTTGAAGAACCAATTTCTACCAAAGGGATTTTAGGAGACAACCTTCTAATCAGATCTTGGATTTTTTTTTTTTTCACAGAGGTCCTACAGTAATGGGAAGTAATCACCCAGCTCAGGTTCCCTAGGACAGACTCAACTCTAAATATTTCTGACCCAAAGTCACCATAAACCAGTAATCTGCCCTTAGGTTGTAATGACATTCAATCCCAGGAGCAGCACAAAATCTGCTTGTCATATCCCGGTCCCAAAGGTGCTGCCCGTTCGTGGAGCCAGCTCTCTTCTTCCAGACCCCTGATGGACAGTGTCTATGTCTGTAAAATCTTCTGTACTAGTTCCAGAATCCATTCCTTCTTCCATGGCTTCTAGAGCAGTTAAAACATGATACCAGAGCTTACTAAACCTCTTCCACTTTTTAGAGGTGGAACTTTCTAAGGATTTTTGGGGTGTCCATGCATAAAATGAAAGGGTAAGGTGGTTTTCCATGGAGGATCCCTGCATTTGGGAGGCAGCTCTGTGACCTGGAGGCGTGTGCCGGAGGGGGTAGGCAGCTCTCTTCTTTCCACTTGTGTCCAGGGTCTTGGTTTCCAGGACATGCACAAACGGCCCATGTGCTGAGGTTAGGGCAGCACCGGCGCACCATGGTGGCCGCGGGAGGCTGTAGAAGGTTCCCTGTAAGACATGTTTGCATCTGTAGGAGAAGGACACAGAGATTACTGTAGTGATTACATTTTGGAAGGGATCAAGTAGCACTGGAAGGAGAACCAGGTTGGGTTGATGGGAACAAGTAAAGTCATCAACGCATTCATTCATTCATTTAAAATCCTGTGCTAGACACCTACTTAGTGCCAGGCCCTCTGCTGAGAGAGCACTGCGGTGTACGTGATGGTCACTGTCCCTGCCTTCTTGGACCTGGCAGCTCAGCAAGTGAAAGGTCTGAAAGGTCACTGAAGTAATGTCTAGGGTGATATGGAAGTATAGAGTTTCGTGGGAGCATATAACAGGAGAACCCAACCTAGCCAGAGGGAGGAGGAGGGTCCAAAGGGTCAGGGAAGGCTTCTGTGAAGAACAGACATTTAGACTGAGAACTTAGCTAGAAGAAAGAGGTAGAGAGCAAAATGGAAAGCAAAAGGCTCCCCAGCAAAAAGAGTAAGCTGTGCCGTGAATCTGAGGTGGGGAAGAGCATGAAAGGTTTAAGGAATGGGAACGAGGCCAGAGAGCAGGAACCTGGGCCAGAGAAAGCGAGGCTCGCGGGAAAGCAGAGGCCATGAGAGGCAGGGCTGCTTGGAAGGGACTTAGAGATGAACCTAAGGGCAATGGACACTCCTCTGATTTGTTTAGAATTTTATCTTTTGAAGGTCATGCTATTCCGTGAGGAGAATGGCTTGGAAAAGGGCAGAGAGGAGGGAGATGCCAGTTAGGAGGCTAGTGTGTGCAGAGCAGGTGTGAAGACAGTGTGGGGCACTGAGGATGGAAGGCTTTAGGAGCTACGGAGAAGGCAGAGTGAGCAGGACTTGGTGAAGGGTTGAATAAGGAGTGAGACAGAAGGAAGAGTCAAGGACACCTAGGAGGTTTCTGAGTTGAGCAAAAAAATGCACCATAGTTCACTTACTGATAGGGCAGAGAGTGGAGTGCAGGGAGGGTTAGATGTTCATTTATTAACCTAAAGTTATTGATTTCTTAGCGAGGGATTACTTGCTGTAGGTGCTGAGGAGAGTAAAGAGGAGTGAAAGGCTTCCCCTGCCCTGAAGAAGGCACAGCCTAGTAATGAAATAGAAACATACAAATAAAGAGTTATTTGAAAAAAATATCTCAAAAGAAAACAATGAATCAATTTCAATTCAACAGACCTCCCCCCCCCCCCCCGATTGATTTTAGAGAGGGAGGAAGGGAGAGAGAGAGAGATATAGAAACGTCGATGAGAGAGAACATCGATTGGCCACCTCCTGCATGCCCCCCACTGGGGATCGGGCCCACAACCTGGGCATGTGCCCTGACCAGGAATCAAACCAGCAACCTCTTGGTGCATGGGTCAATAATCAACCACTGAGCCACACAGGCCGGGCTCAGCAGACCCTTTATTGGGCAACTGTCCACTGTGTACTGGGCATCATTTGGCCTTGAGGAATCAAAGACAAATGAAACACAGTCCCTGGCCTCAAGGAGCTCACGGTCCACTAGAAACGATGAAACAAGCACCAAACAAAGTGTAATATGAAACGACAGGTGATCAGAGCCAGGTGAGAAGTGATGTCAGGTTGGCAGCTGGTCAGACTTCTCAGAAAGACCCACACCCCCACAGGATGGAGATGCCTCCCGGATGCTTCTCCTTGGAACAGCATTAGGTCTTGAGACAAGAAATGAAAGGAACTGGAAACTGTTTCCCTGGAGCTGACCAGGCCCCTCTTCATCCCCTTCGTGTCTGCAGCCTGGGTTTTGTGTAGGGCAAGGGGGAAGTCGAACAAAGAGAAACTGGACTTGAGGAGAGACAAAAGACAATAAACCAGGTGGAGGAAGAGGCACCCCATCACATTGACAGTGGTTATTTGTGGGTCATAGGAATATAACATTTTGCTGTTTTTGTATTCTTCTTTCTTTTAATATGTGTTAAATTTTTTTCCATGTGAAGTGTGTATTTTTTTAGTAACAAGGAAAAAAAGCTATATGTATTTCTTTGCACAGCAGGTTTCGGGGCAGGAGTTCACATTTTCATTCCAAGGGAGAATCTCCTCATGCACCATTCTGTAAACCTGCAGTTCAGTAAGACCAGGCGCTTTGTTTCTTTCCTAAGGCATCAGTGCACAGGGATTATGTGCTTATGTCCTGATGTAGACTCAGCTGGCTTTCAATCCTGCTGTGCTCCTGTGTGATTTGAGGAAATTGTTTAATCTATTTGATCATAAGTCTCCTCATCTCTAAAGTGGAAGTAATTATAGTAATAGTTATCTCTGAGGGTTGATGGGGAAATTAAACAAGAAAATACAGTTAAAGTACAGTTGACCCTTGGTATCCTCAGGGGATTAGTTCTCAGGCTCCCTTGGAGAGCAAAATCCACTATTCTATATATAAAATGGCATAGGCCCTGGCCGATTTGGCTCAGCAGTTGGAGCGTCAGCCTGCAGACCAGAGAGTCCTGGATTCGGTTTTCACTAGGGGCACATACCAAAAAATAAAAATAAAAAAATAAAATGGCATAGTACTTGCATATTACCTGTGCATACCTTCCAGCACTTTAAATCATCTCTAGATTACTTATAATACCTAATACCATGCAAACACTATGTAAATAGCTGTTAATACTGCATTGTTTAGGAAATAGTGATCAGAAAAAAGTCTGACCATGTTCAGTACAGGTATCATAGGCCTAACTACATAGTACACGTCAGCAACAAAGTAACATTCTGACCTGGGGTTAGTTGAACCTGTAGAGGCCGAATCCCAGATATGGAGGGCCAACTGTATGTTAAGGCACATGGTACGCACTGAGTAAACATCCAACCATTGTTAGTGCTGTACCCTTTATCTGCGGAGGAAGCACAGCCTGGCACTGCTCCAGTCCCTTCACTCTCTTGGCAGACAGTGAGGACGACAGCCCTGAGACTCCTTGGTTCTAAAATGATCAGTCTCTTGATGTTTTTCAGGATGAAGATGATCTGGCCAGCACCCTGATCTGGCCTGAGATTCAACAGGAGCTGAAAATCGTTGAATCTGAGGAGGAACTGTCCTCGTTGCCACCGCCTGCTGTGAAGAGTAGCCCATCTCAGCCCATTCTTGAGTCAAGTCCAAAGCCTCTTGCTACCCCAGAGCCTCCTGGGAGCTTGCCCTGTGTCTCCACCCCAGCTCCAGTCTCCACCTTTTTGGAGGAGCAGACTAGGGATCCAGGCAAACAGAGCACACAGAGGGCTCCCACAGCAGCCAGTAGAGAAAAGCCAGAGACGACCAGCAGCCTCCACAGATCTGAGACTGAGAAGGGCCAGCGCCCAGACACCACCAGCCCGGCTCCTCTAGAAATCGTTCCAGTTGAGACAGCTCCTCCACAAGCAAGGGCGGAAGTGGGAGGCCCAGGGGAGCTGTCTCCTCTGCTCCCGCCCACTCCACCCCCTCTAACTCCTCTGGAGGAGGCACCTCAAGTCCAGCTATGGAAGAATGGCCCTGAGAAGGAAGACGCATCAGAGAATGTAAGGGCAAACCCACATGTAGACCCGCTGAAGTCCCAAGGCAGCCCTGGGGTCTCCAGTCGTTGTCAGGGAGACAAGGCCTCTGCAGGACAGAGCGAGAAACAAAAGTCAAAGAATGCTGCTCCGGATGCGAAAGGCTCTGGCTTTCCAAGCCCAGGAAAGGAGGTTGAGCTCTCCCAACAAAGAGAGGGGGACGCAGCCCATTCAGTACAGGAGCCCTCAGACTGTGACGAAGATGATACTGTGACAGACATTGCCCAGCATGGCCTGGAGATGGTGGAGCCCTGGGAGGAGCCCCAGTGGGTGACAAGTCCCCTTCATTCCCCCACCCTGAAAAATGTGCAAGAGGCCCAGGTGCAGGCCCCTCAGGGCCACCGCTTGGAGAAGAGGCTTTCCCACAGGCCGAGCCTTCGCCAGAGCCATTCTCTGGACAGCAAAACCACGGCCAAGAGCCAGTGGACTCTCGAGGGTCCCTCCTCCAGCAGCTGTGCTGACCTTGAAGCAGAGAGGAACTCTGACCCTCTGCAGCCCCTGGCACCCCGGAGAGAGATTACTGGATGGGATGAGAAAGCCCTGAGATCCTTCAGAGAGCTCTCTGGCCTGAAAGGGACAGAGGTTCTTCCCAGCCAGAAGGGACCAGGTGGTCTGCAGCCCAAGGCAGCAGAAACCAGCCCTGTCAGCCCAGCAGAGGGAAAGGAACTGGGGACACACCTGGGACACTGCAACCCTCAGAAAGAGCAAGGTAGTGTGCCTAGACCAGGGAGCAGCAAGGAGAATTCACCTCGTGTGCAGGACAGCACCTCGCCTGGACAGCCTCCCCCAAAGTTACAGCTGAAGAGCACTGAGGGTGGGCCCCCAAAAGGGAAAAATAGGCCTTCTTCCCTGAACTTGGACTCTGCCATCCCCATCACTGACCTCTTTCGTTTTGAGAATGTGGCCTCATTCGGTTCACCTGGAATGCAGCTCTCTGAGCCTGAAGACCCAAAGGCCACGTGGATGGCCTCATCTCACTGTAAAGTAGACCCCTGGAGGGTTTGCTCCCAGGACTCTCAGGACCTGGACATTGTCGCTCACGCCCTGACAGGCCGCCGTAACTCAGCTCCCGTCAGCGTGTCAGCTGTGAGGACCTCCTTCATGGTCAAGATGTGCCAGGCCAGGGCGGTGCCAGTCATTCCACCCAAGATTCAGTACACACAGATCCCACAGCCCCTGCCCCCGCAGAGCCCAGCGGAGGATGGGGCGCAGCCTCTGGACAGGAGCCAAGAGGAACCCAGCTCAACTGGTGGGACCTCTTGGAAACCTGCCAAAGGTGATTCTCTCTCTTCCTTGGAAAGCCCGAGGGAAGAGAAACCAAAGCAAGACACAGGAGCCATGGAGTCCTTGCCAGTGGATGCCACCACATCCTGTATGTGTGAGGGGCCCAGCGTTTCTCCAGAACCGGGTGCGGCTAACTTGCTCTCCACCCAGGACGCAGGAGCGCAGTGCCGAAAGCGCTCATCAGAGACAGAGCCATCTGGGGACAACCTTCTTTCTTTAAAACTAGAGCGACCATCAGGGGGTGCTAAGCCTTTCCACAGGTCAAGACCAGGAAGACCTCAGAGCCTAATCTTATTCAGCCCTCCTTTCCCCATCATGGACCATCCACCTTCCTCCACAGGTTCAGATTCCAAGGCCCTGCTGTCCCCTATCAGAAGTCCCACCCAGACAGTTTCCCCTGGCCTTCTGTGTGGGGACTTGGCAGAAAACACGTGGGTCACCCCGGAAGGGGTTACCCTTAGGAATAAAATGACCATTCCTAAGAATGGCCAGAGACTAGAGACCTCAACCAGCTGTTTTTACCAGCCCCAGCGGAGGTCGGTGATTCTGGATGGAAGAAGTGGGAGGCAAATAGAGTGACTTCGGTTCCTCTGCTGGCGTCTGGAGAAGATGCCACGATTCATCTGGAACGTATTATAGGGCCAACTTACCACTAGTCCAGACACAGGTTATCCAAGCCTGGGCTTACTTTGGCCTCTTCTTCTCTTCCGTTAGCCTTTTGACCATGTATTAATTAGTCCGTTTGTTAGAGGAGAGGTCAAGGGAAGGACCAGGGATGAAATAGATAAGTCTGCGTGAGCAGGTGGGAAGGGTCAGGGAAGGGAGAGGATGAAATGCTCGCCCGCAGTGAGATCTGGGGCTTGTCTGTGGGTTGCGTCACCCCCCATTGCCACTCCGTGTTCCTGTGGCAAGCTGGACGTGATACTGACCCTTGAAAGAGAGATCCTTTGTGTTGAAAAATGTTGCTACTGCGGTTTGAAGGCCTCCTCTTTACTTCCTGCTTTGTAATGCTCGTTAAGGCATGTGTTCTTTTAGACCAGTTTTCTGATAAGCTTTGTAAAAGTGTACTCTCCAGAATAGCAGCAGATTTGGAAAAGCAAACTAACGTACACTTAGATCTCCCAGTGGGTGGATTTACTCATGCTCTTTCTCTGGAATTTCTGCTGACCTGCCCAACACAGCTCTTTATATCAGCATAGAAAATTAGAATCCACACTGAAGAGCCAACTCAGACTGGCACAATCTAAGGAGACTCTCTGGCTCTGGCTTTTATTCATTCGGGACTCCAGCAGCCACTATCCTTCTCTCTCCGATTTATAAATCCAGTAGGGGGTGGGGGCTAAGCTGAGGGCTACCTCCATGAAAGGTGCTGCATCTCCATTCAGGTGTGCAATAGAGATCTGCCTCCATTTCAGCATCCTAGTCCAGAAACAGGAGGTCACCTTGGAGGAGAGCCTGACACGTAGACAGAACTACGCTCCACGCTGAATGTGTTCACTTTGGTGAGGCGTCAGCAGCAGTCGCCTCCAGCTCAGCTTCACGCTCTCACGCTCGGCTGGGAGAAAAGTGCAGGAGAAGGTGGGGCGCCCTAGCAGGGCGGCCATCCCCACCACCTGATGGCAGCCGCCCTTCTGAAGATGTTTTTCATCTTAGCCCGTGGATGCCTTCCTTCCTCCCTATCCCTTCATTGCTCAAGAACAGATGGAGCCACCCTTCCGCAATCCCCCTCATCCACCCCCCACCCCAGGCACTCAAACTTGCCCTCTCCTGTCTATATAAAAGCAGAAGCAATAAGCCAACCTGATTTTATGTCACTTATTTAGAACTTCAAATGGTTCTTTCCTTTTCAGCTGGAGAGAGGAAGAAGTAATATAACCTGCTGGCAGATTTTGGTGCTCCCTCAAATAGGGCTTTGCAGGAGCCTTTCTCAAGGCCAAACCCATCGGGGTATCAACACCTTTAAACCTTCTAAGACAACTATCTTGTTTGAAAAACAAGAAAAATAGACCTATTTTCAGCCCTCTGCACCTCCTCTCAGGTTCAAGTCTGGCAGAGCTCTGTCCAGAAGCTCAGTCATTGCAGAAATTTCTCTAAAGGCCAGCAGTCCCTCTGGGCAGTACCTCACATCCAAGGCTGGTGCTGGGCTGGAAAGAAGATGAACTCGAGTTATCTCCTCCAGTGATACATATTCCTCTCTCCCCCTCTTCCCTGATAAGCCTTGCAGTTTGGAGGCCCAGTCCTGTCCCCTTTAAGCTGGCGTCTGCAGCAGGGGTGAGTGTCTGTAGCCGGACCAGGCCAGCGTATGTGTTCTGCTTTCAGGGGCCCCGAGATGAGCCAGCAGGGGAGTGGTCAGTAGGCCTTTGGCCAGTTTCTTTACATTCCCACTAGGTGAGCAAGACATCGGACCAACAGCCAATGAGATGTCAACCCCTAAGAAAAGTCCAAGGGTATGGCATTCTTCCCCCCAAGGAAAGCAAGGTGAAGAAATATTGTGGTGACAGATGAGAAAGGCCATGTTCAGGAGATTTGGAAAGCGCATTCCTGCCTTATCAGAGAATGTGAGCAGATAGCGAGGCTTTCTGCCCATCTCAGTGGTGTCTGCACTTTGATAAAGACCTGCTCCAGTGGGAATGCACTGGAGGGAAGGACCGCACTTTGTTGCGCCAGCAGAACTCCGAGCCGAGTCATGAAACATTTAAACTATTTTGTGATTATTTTAAATTTATGTCTGTAACATTTAGAGGCTATCTTTTTATTTGGGCACAGGCTTTGAAGCCACTATTTACATATTAACAAGTGAGTTCAAGTTGAGGCACCCAAGTGGATGTATTAAATGGCTGATGTGTTCCTGAGGCTGACATCTCTCATTTGTAGCATCATCTTCAGGAGCGTGGTGGGGATGTAGATGTCCTCCTGAGACACGGTGACACCTGTCTGGAGATATTTCTTACTCTGAGCTTCCCTAGCCAGGCAATCCAAAAGGCCTCGGGAGCAGACTCACTTCTCAATGTCCCACTGCGGAAGTGTGGGCTTCTCCTTTGTCACCCAGCCTGTCAACTGTCAGAACATATTCATTAACTTCCTGTGGGCTGGGGCTAGCCTGGCTCTGAGGAAATTCCATTCCAATGCACAGAAAACTTATCATCTATTGTCCCTGAAACTGTTCCTCAGAATGCCCCCAGATTACCTATCTGGTCACCCACTTGGGACTGAAAAATGAACCCCTGAGAATGGCTGGTTGGGAGGGACAGGAGAGGCACTACTGTGGTTGGGAGGAGCTGCAGATGCCCTAGAAAGGGCTGCAGAACCAAATCCTCAAAGGGCTACCTCAACTATCCGTCCTCTAAATGGGGCTGGCTGATTTTAAACGTCAGATTTGAAGTGTTTTCTTTCAGTGTTAATGGTTGCTTAAGAAGATAGTAACATATATATATTTGCCCAGTGGACTAGAAGAAATTGGTTTTTATTCTCTGCTTCATGTGGACTATGAAGAGACCTGACCAAGAACCCCATTAAGTTACTGTTAGACTAAAATTCAAAACAATTGTTTACATCAAAATTCTGGGGAAATAAAAAATGTAAACATTATAACCCTCAACAGATAATATTTCTCAAGAGCTTAGTAACATTGTGGCTGGGCACTTTAGAACTCTGCAATCCTCGAAGAGGCTAATGAAAAAAGGGGGAGGGATGGGAGCAAACGTAACAGCCTATAAACAATCAGGAGCAAGACTTAAAACCATTAAGTTATCAAATGAAAGCAAAAAGGGGAAAATGTAGCAAATGGCATCTCTTAATAGGATTATTACTAGTGTTCAAGTTACCTACTGGCTGTCATCAAATTAAACAATTGCAAGTTCAATAGAAAGTACTAGGGAGACACCCGGGCACTGAGATTTTTGCTTTGATCATTAAAATAAACAGAGAGTAGGAACTAAGAATAAATAGTCCCGAGGTTTTCTGTGGTCTTTACTGGTTGTTGGGCTATGACGTCCTGTTGGATCTCTGCAGATGTGTGAGGTCATACCAGTGTCCCATACTCCTTGAGAGTTGTTTTAGGGACTTCCATCCTCACAACATGGATTAACTCCTGTTGACAATGAAGTTGGGTGGGACAGTCATTGGTCTACACGGGCCTTGGATTCCTGCCTGAAGAGGTGCTGGGGAACATAAGATTCATTTATCTGAGGTTGAAATGGGAAATGTTCGGGGTAGGTCCAATTCCCATCAGGATTGATTAGAGCTAAATTCTACCACGACCTGTCCTGTTGACAATACAAGTCTTGGGGTTAAGTGTTGCCAAGAGTATGATTTGAGGCACTTCCAGCAGGAAAATCAGCTCAAAATGTGGAATAGCAAAGAACAGGTCCTTTGTCAACACCTTTTCTAGCAAAGTCAGGCCAGAGGGGGGAGCGAGGGCACCTCGCCACGCATGAAGAGGAGGCGGAGACTGTTGAAGGGTAATTGCCTGAGATCAGTGTCAGTCCAGATAGGATGACATTTGGGAACACCAAAGACTGATTGGCACACAGTGGATCATTTAGTAGCCTTGAGGTTCACAGGCACTGCAGGGATCACTTCTACTTCTCTATGAGGATGGAGGAGGGATGTAACGAAATAAAAGAAACCCATTAAGTAAATAGCCACGCATTTTACTGGATGAATCACAATGCTTTGCAATAACTTAATGCCATCGTACTTCCTGGCTTCTAATTCTGCAAGGTAAAGCACTTTTTCAAAGGAGTCTATTAGAAAGTCACATGATTTCAGCTGTTTGTTGAGCTTGACGAATATGTTTCCAAAGATATAATCAAAATGTTTTTCTATTAATTAAAAAAGTATAAATATTAAACCTATCCATAGAGACATTTAAGTGTAATTAAAACAGATTGTTATGCTTTAAAAAAATGTACTCTAATAAATGATATAAAGTGTAATGTTTATGATGATGACACTGTAAACCACAGGAGGACATGGGGACATCAACATCGGTAATAGGACAAGGGTATTGCTGTGTGCATCGGACTCATTGTTCTAGTTTGTTCTGTTTGATGTGATTTTTTATTACTTCAAGTCCTGATGATTTGCTTTGGTAAATTTCTCGTTTTTATTTCACCTCTTGGTACTTGTCAAACATATGCAACTTCACTCTCTTACAGTTGCAATCACACGTAGCCCAAGATAGCCAGTATAAGTCAATGGATATTATAAGGAAAAATGAGAAGAAACGCCATTGCTTCTCAAAACTCCACAGCTTGAGAAGTTTGGGTCCGCTTACACATAAGTGAACTCAATTTTTCTATCACTTGAATCAATCAAGGTGATCTATTCTTTCATTTGAGGATTATTTTAATGATGCTCTGGGGTAAACAAGCCAAAGTGTTATCTTGGCATGTATTATCATAAAAAAGGGGCGAGGGGCACTTACTATGTTGAAATGAGGCCCCTAGGGAAAAATATTATGCAACCCAGGCTCACGAGCTGGTGATACTTGCAGTGACAGATGTCACAGCCAAGGGGATAAAAATACTAGCATTTGGGTAACAATATTCATTTAGAAATTTGCATTTCCTAGGCCTCTCCTGTCAGCCTTCACCACAGCCCTAATTGCCTTTTTCTCCTATGAACTCCCAGATCCCGTCTCCTCTTTCTCCCTCCCACCCACTGAACTCACAAAGTTGGCCTCACTCCTAATCCTTCCCACACTGGTTCTGCAGTCCTCTCCTTACAGTCTCTTCACCGACTGTTGCCTCCCCTTGCTGGACTTCAGTAAAACTTCATTCCCCTGAGGACACTTCTTTCCCTGAATAAAAAGGCTGCCCATTTCTCCAGGTTACACAGGCTACAAAGAGCTGAGATGTTCTTCAGTTTCCCACTTCTGCACCGTGTCTGTCCATCTCATACAAAAAAGTTTTTACCAAAATGTATGGCATCCCGCTATTTTAACGTTCACCATTCTTGGTGGCCATGATGCAGTGTCCCAGATTTCCCAGTTTGGCACCAGCCTCCCTGTTCCCTTCTCCACCTCGTGTCCCACCATTATTCTGGATGACTTCAATGTTCCCAAGGAAAACTCACCTGACACTCTTCCCACAATTGCTAACAGCTTTTACTTCTACTCAGTTTTGGCCATTTCTTCCGCGGTTACACACCAGCCTGTTTCATAGCCTAGAACACAGTGGTCTTATACTCAGATTCCATCCTCACAACTTCTTGCTCCTTTGTTCCTCCTGCTTGCTCAAGATTGCTAATGCCTGGCCCACCCCTCACTGACAGACAACACCCCCACCAGACAGCCTTCCCTAGGCTTTTTAGACCCCAAGGCACATCATCTCAACTATGCTCACCAACACCTTTACTCCCTTGACCACTAGTCCTTTGCTTGGCAAACCTCCAAACTAGAACCAGGACCCTTACCACCCATCTTCTCTACTGCTTTAGTGTGTTTTTTTGTGTTAGACCAGAGATCATAAAACCATGGTAGGAGAGCCTTTGGAAATGTATAGTTTACCACCTCAACAGTGGCCTCATTCCCAAAATTCACAAAGGCTATTCCACTACCCCAACCACCCCCAGCATGGGCCCCCTCACCCCACCAGATTGATAATTGCTTCTTCACCGTAAGTTTACACTATCAGATGTTTCCTCCACCTCTCACCACCACGTCCCCTCACCCATGAGTACCTAACCTCTCTCCTAGCTGAGAGGGGGTGCTAGTCCTCTTCCTAAGGGCTCCCGTGAACCCTCCTTTCCAATTCATGACTTCTTCATTCCAATTCTCTACTCTGGATGGACTGCTGCCTCATCTCCGCTCCCATTGCTCCATTAATATTTCTCTTGCTAAAGTCACCAAGGTCTAATAACCAGATCCAACAGTCAGTTCTCTTATATTTGATACTGCTGATCATTCTTTGTCTTGGAACTTGAGCTCACCTCTTGGACTTTAATTTCTTAGTCTTGTTCATTTGAAAGCTTCCGGTTCTGTTATTCACCAGAATTCTGCCTTCTCTTCTCTTTTCACTCCACATATCTTCCCTACATCATCTTATTCATGCCCATGGCTTTTTCTATCACCCACACAGTGGTGACACCCTACCTTCCACTTTCTCTTGCATGCACTTTTTAAATGGTTGGCTAACTGGTCTCTCTGCTCTAAGTCTCATTGGCATCCCCTCATTTTTCAAACCTATCCTACATATTGCTGCCAAAGTTACTTAACATAGGATAGTGGTTCACTTCAAAATCACCTGGAGACTGTCTTAAAACAGACTTATGGGTTCCACAGAGTTTTCTGACTCGGTAGGCTTGGGGTAGGGCTTGACATTTTTCATTTCGAACAAGTTCCCGGTTAGATGCTGCTGATGCTGCTGGTCATAATTCCTCAGCTTAAAATCTCTCATTAGCTGTCTTCTGTCTGCAAAAGTTCCCAGATTTATTTGCTGAAGAATTACTTGTGAAAAGTGCATAGTACTGGGCTTTACCCTCAAGGTCTGTTGTAGTATCCAAGGATCACCCTATGAATTCAAACCCCTTCATGTGGAATTCAAGTCCCTCCATAACTATTGCTTGCCTAGCTCTCCTGCATTACTGAACTAGTGATTTAAAAACCTAGTGCAGCCCTGGCTGATTTGGCTTAGAGGTTAGAGCATCAGCTCGCAGACCAGAGTCGCGGGTTCGATCCCAGTCAAGGGCACATACCTGGGTTGTGGTTCAGTCCTCAGCAGTGGTTGGGGTCTTGCGGGAAGCAACCAGTCAATGTGTCTCTCTCACATCGATGTTTCTCTCTCTTTCTCCCTCACACTCTATCTGAAGATAAATGGAAAAAAATATCCTTGGGTGAGGATTAAAATAAAAACCTAGTGCAAATCCATGCCTCAACTTTTTATATATCCTGTTCCCACTGCATGAACCCCACCTTCCTCAGCATGTGGCAAACATCTAGTCCTCCTCCAAAACGCACCTTGTTACTGCTACAAACAAGCCTTCTAAGCAGTTGCTCACTCCCTGTTCCGCCTCACCTCTGTATCTTGTATATACTTCCTTACCTGAACACCTGTGTTATAATTGACTTCCCTGCCTATTAGTCAATGAACTCTGAACATCACTATCTCTGGCACCCAGAGTCTGGAACATAATTACTTAGTAAACAGAAATGGGGGATGGGGTGGTGGTGATTGATAGGGACACAGGGAAAGAAGCTTAGGGAATACTACATGGAACCAGAGTGAACAGAACGTTGAGGAACATCTCCACCATTCTTATGCCTGTGAACTACCCTCCTCTACTCAGACACATTTATACCCACCCTAAGCCCCCCAGATAACTGGTCAAGCATCTTCCTTCCTTTTCCGATTTCACAAGTTCACATAACTGATGGTTTGCTATTTTTTTTCCCCCACACACCATTTAACTTCTCAACATATAAACAATTACAAAAACGGCCCTTCTTTAATGGCTATGCATCTCCTACTATCACTAAGCAAAGACGGTGTCCCTCCTTTCCCATGACCTGTAATAGGATACACGGGTAACTAGTAATTTTCTCCCCTGCCCCGAACGTGGCACCTACAAAGGATAGCTGAAAGGAGTAGGAGCAGGATGAACTGAAGGGTTTTACCTCCCTGATGCTGTCATATCTGGAAGGAGAGAGGAGCACTTTGCTATTCCATCAGCCCAAATTCTTATTTCTTTTTTTTTATATTCTCATTTGTTTAGCCAACCTGGCATCTGGTTCTCTTGTGCTACTCCTTTAGGATATGGCCAACACAGGTCAACTAGAAGGGGGAGTCACGTCAGCTTGTAAGACAAGTCAATTAATCAGTTATCTGGGCTTTTCTTTCGTTTTCTTAAATCCTCGCTGAGACATGCTCCAGAGAGAGGGGAAGGAGGGGAGAGAGACAGAGACAGAAAGAAACATTGATGTGAGAATAATTTGTTGCCTTCCATATGTACCCTGACTGGGAATAGCCCTGACCAAGAATCAAACCTGAAACTTCTTGGTGTATGGGACGATGCTCCAACTGACCGAGCCACCTGGCCAGGGCTGGGCTACTTTTCAATGAAAGAACCAACATGGGGCCATTTTGATGAGACATCTTTGTGCCCAGGCCACCCATTTTGCTTTTAGCTGTCAAGTAATCTAATCAAAATGATTGCTCATCAAAAGCAGCGTACCTTGAAGATCCTAAGGAAAGATGATAGATGGCAGATGGCAGCCCCCCCCCCGCCCCGCCCCGCCAAGAACCACCATATTTAGGTTGAACCACTTTACAAAAAACCAATACACTGGTTACCTATTTTCCCCATATACCAAAATTGTTCCTACCTCAGGGCACTGCCCTTGCTGTCCCTGTAGCTGGAATTCCCTCCAAAGCTATTTACATGGCCCAGCCTTGCTTCATTTGGTCTTGGCTCAAAACTCATCTCCTCAAAGATGCCTGCTGGCAACGCCATTCCTTGCACTTTCTATTCCCGTGCCCTAATCTATCTTCTCTTTTCCACACTTACTACTACTACCAGGAAACGTTATACATTTACTTATGGCGCAGTTTACACCCCATCCCCATATTGCAAACTATGAGTGGAGAGTTTTGCAGTTCTCCACTGCTGAACTCCCCAATGCCTAATATAGTGTCTGTGGCCAACACAGACTTTTTGAATGGCTGAATAGACTCAGACTGAATACCAAACAGTTTAACTTTTTTAAAAAGTATATGTATCAAAATATTTAAAGGAAAAATTGTTAAACATAGCAGTCACCAATTTCATGAGAACCACCAGGC